AATTCAACTTTTTTTCCATGGTCACATTTGTAGAATTTGGTGCAATCTTTCTCGTGTGGTAGATGGACTGTATGGTCTAGAGGATCAGGCCATGGGCATTCTGGATCCCTGTTTTCTGGTGGAGTTGGTTTTGGAGTTTCAGGTTTTGGAGTTTCTGAAGTCGTTGGTTTTGGAGTAGGAGAAGGTTTATTGTCCTCACAACCAGCAACGTGTGGCCAATCACAAACTTCCAATTTCTTGTTGAAATGTAACCCATTTGGACAATCAAATTCAACTTTTTTTCCATGGTCACATTTGTAGAATTTTGTACAATCTTTTTCGTGTGGTAGATGAACAGTGTGATCCAAGGGATCAGGCCATGGACATTCCGGATCTCTATCTGCTGGTGGAGTTGGTTCCGGTTTCAGAGTTGGTTTCGGTGAAGTGGTTTTATCATTTAATGTACAATTAGCACTCCATGGCCAATCACACACTTGCAAAACCGGATTGAAATGTAACCCATCAGGACAATCAAAGAGAACTTTTCCACCATGATCACATTTATAAAATTTCGTACAATCTGATTCGTGTTGAAGATGAACAGTATACTCCAATGGGTCGATTTTAGGACACTCAGTTGGTATCGGCCATATTTCCTTATCACCAGCTTCTACAATCCGAATATATTTTATTTATCAACATAAATCAATACAACAAAATAATTACCTGCTTGATAAACAATGAAACACAAGACCAACGTAATAAAATTACGTTTAATGGTCATCACGATTTTTATCTATTACTATACTACAAATTTTTTGTACTTATAGTAACAAAAAGACAACCACTATTAACAAAAACATCTCTCTGATACCCTTTTATACCACTTATCACGATATAAGCCCTAGTAATAAAATTGTTTAGATAAAAAATAGAATCGCGCGTTTTCCGACCAACAATTGAAGGGATTATTAAACACTCAAATATGACTTTAATTGTAATTAATCTATTTATGATAGCAATCCCAATTCTAATCGCTCGTAAATTAAATCATTTTTCTTGGGTTTTTTATGCACATTGTTGCACAATTCACATTAAACGAAATAAAAAAGTTTAAAAAAAATAAATGATCGAATTCAACAATTTAAAACAAACAATGATTGTTTTGTATTGGAAAGAAGTTTTTAAATTTAAATCGGAGTTCGATTTTTGTAGGGAGCTCCCGAACCCCCTATGCACCTACCAGCTGTACCAGAGCTTCGTCAACGCGGTCCAGGGCTGCAATTCGGGTGTGCGAAACTCCGAAAGTGACCACGACCGCCTCCTCAAGATGCGTGAATCAGTTCAGAAACTCCCACCGCCCCATTACCGCACCCTCGAATATCTGATGCGACATTTGGCCAATGTGGCCAAACATGGCGTCAGTACAGGAATGACCACTCGAAACGTGGCCATAGTTTGGGCCCCAAATCTATTACGTTGTGCCGAATTAGAAGTCGGTGGTGTTGCCGCCCTTCAAGGGGTCGGTGTCCAAGCCGTCGTCACCGAATTTCTCATTTGCTACGCACACTTGATCTTCTGCGATCATCTCCCGAATCTTGATTTGCCAACAGAAAACGAGTCGAATTTCTCGCCAAAAAAATCTCGACCGAAAAGTCTCGCCATTTCGACGCCTACTAAACTCATCACATTGGAGGAAGCTCGAACTAAACGTTTATTGAACAAAAACGAAGATTGCAATTATATTGAAGTTGGTGGAGGGCCGAAAAATTTACCGAAAAAATATCACACTGTGATTGAATTACCGTCAGGGGGGAGGAAAAGAGGACACAAAAGGTCGCCGCTCGGTTGGAGGTCGCTGTTTTCCAAAGCGAAAAATAACTCACAAGGGAATCTCAGTAAGCCGCGAAAGGCCTCAACACCGGGGATTATAGTCGCAGTAAGCCGTGACTAGGCATTTGATATTCATTTCTTTAATATTTTTTTAAGGATAAGTCAGTCACTGAATCAGACTTGACTGACATGAAACGGAAGTTGAGGTCGGTCAAGTCGGCCGAAAGTCTCACTTCCGGTCATTCGGAACCGACCGGAAACGAAATCGACGGTTTAGGACCACTGTATTCGTTAAACAAGCCTCCAGGCCATAATAGGTGAGTTTAGAATAAAAAAATTATAAAAATCAGACTTACCAAGAATTTATTTGTCATGACAAGTGAGTTCCGAGTTGTTTTCGGTACTTTTTTCTAAATTCCAGGAAGGGAAGATAAATGAAACAAACAATTAAACAATTGTTTGTCGAAGCTTACTACGTTTTAATTTGTAATTTTAGATGTCATTTAACTGATAAAAGAAATTCTTTAAATTTAGAAATGTAACATCGATGACATCAACATTGATCGGATGATAAAATACAAAGAAAAATAATGACTATCGCAAAGGGGCGTTAAATATTAAAAGAAAAATTCAGGTGTGAAATTCCAACATGGTTGATGTTCGCCATTTGGGAATTTTATTTATCAAACACCGTAAAAATGATAATAAATGAAAATTGAGTTATTTTTATCAAAACTAAATCGTTGTTATTAAATAATTGCCTAGTTATAGGATCAGTGGTTAAAATTATTAATCATGTGGATTAGTCAATGTTTTTTTAAATTTTTTACATGAAAATTAAAATTACAACACCAGATTTAGATTTCCGAATTCGCCCCTTGATCCATCATAAATTGCAAAGGCTTTATGGATCGTAAAAGTGCTAAGGAAGCAATAAATCTTATCGGCTTTTACAGTCGTTTAAAAAAAATTATCTCGGAAAATAATCGACTGAATTAAAAACTGGAAAATTTGTTTCAGGTCCGTTTCGCACGACTCCTATTTCGACACCCTCCAAAACTCCCAAAACAATTCGGAAGGTTCCCTCCTCGACCTCAGCGAGATTCAACTCAACTTCGAGCTTGAGGAGTCAGAAATGCGGATTTTCTCCGAAGACGAAAGTCTAGTCAGTTCTCCTCGAATCCAAAAGGATGGTTATCGACGCATCCTGACCCGTGCTCGACCTGAGGACTTTAGCAGTGCTACCAACTCCGGTAATCCATCACCGAAAAAACAAGCACGAGTCGTACTTTCGCCAGATTCAATGTCTCGGAAACGCACCCGACTCGAAGACCAATTATCCGACATACAATATATCGATTGTACCACTCCTGATAACATGGTTTGTACCATGGCCGTGGTACATACAATACCACAAGTCGAAACGGTACCAGATTCGTACCAACCGAAAAATAAATCACCAAGAAATTCAGATCATTTGGATAAAAGACAGTCATTGAATTTGGAGCGGGAAACGGGGGGGAAACAAGCGATAACTAAGTCATACACCGAGGTGGATATTGGGAGGAAGTGGGAGGGGTCTAGTCTAGTTGCCACACCTACCCCCCAAAGTCCGGGGTATAGACAGTTGGGGGAGTCAAGTACGAACACAACCCCCGATTATAGCCCCACTGAAATTGTTTACGAGAATTTAAACAACGAGAAGAAAAACAACTATGAGAATATTTTAACCACGATTAGTATTACGTATAAGTCACCCCCTAGAAGCATCGAAGCGAGTCCAATTAAAATAAACGCTGATTCGGTCTACGAAAATGTCATAGTCAACGTTGAAAAAGCAATGGTGAGTCATCAATTTTTCAACTGTCATTCATCTGTCAAAGTATTTTCAGGTACCGACCTCGACCGCCTCCCTTCCTAGTCAAGAAGCCACTCAACCGGTCGAAAAATCCGACCGTCCGAAAAGTATGAGCGCATTGGACGACACCAGTACCGATGTCACCTTAAAACCCAATCTCAGTTCGAGCGCCATCTGCGATACCAGCGAACAAATCTCATTGGTTAGTTTCACCGATTCGAACCAATCGTCGCGTTCCAACGTCCAGTATACGCCCAGTTTGAGTTCAGGGGGTGGAGCCGCCGTCTATCACGTGATGGAGAATTCGGACCGGATAAGTTTGACCGATTTGAGTTTGAGTGAAGTGGTACACAGTTCGACTGAAAATCTGAGTTCGGCCAGTTTTCCACTCAGTTATTCGAAAAATTCCACGCCAAATGTCAGTCCAAGTGTGTTCGAAGATGAAGAAAAGACTGAAGATTTGATCGAATTTAGTCCAACAGACAAAAGAAAATCGCCAGAGAGTGAAACAATTGATAGTTCGGTCTATCAACAAGTCAAGTTTTTCCGAAGGTCGATACATGAAGTCAACACTTTGTTAGAGTTGGATGAGAAGAAGAAGGATGAAGAAGAAAATTATGATTCACTCGAGTCGGACCAATTACACGTCTATGAGAATGTCAAAGGTGAAGAAATGAAGAATGAGGAGGAAGAAGCAATTGAAAAAATATGTGTTAAAGATCTGACAAGTCGTTTTGAAGATAAAAACGAAGAAAAAAAGGAAAATAGTACAAATTTACGAGTGAAAAAATTCTACGAAAAAGACAGCCTTCCGCCATGTTTGAGGGCGAGAAATTTAAAAAATCAGTTAAAAACCCGATCTCTAGACGAAGAAGAATTTCAAAAGGAATTTGGAAACGGAGTTGCGGGACAACGAAGAAAATCAATGGATGAAGGTTTGGGCTACAAGACGAACTCCTTGCCCAAAACCTTGAACCCACCCAAAGTCATCCCAATGGACGATGTCGGAAAATTAGATTCGATCCATTTAGCCCACAGTACCGAAAATTTAACCGCAGAAGAAGAACTGAAGAAGAGGGAAAGAATCGAGAAATATAAAGAAGAACGAAGAAAATATCTCCATGACAAATACAGGTATAGTAGAAAAAAAATATAGTATGCAACTCGGGTTATAATTCCCCGACAGGTCCGAATCGTTTAAGGAAGATAAGGACGTCCTACTCTCAAAATTGAAAATATATAAAAACAAAGACGTATGCGTGCCCGAGGAGCCCGAATTGGTGCCCCGAAGTCGCCGAAAAAGCTCAACGAGCATCGACGAGGAAGAAAAAAGTACCTGCAAGCCGAAATCGGACAGTTTGAAATCGCGAGCTGCCGTCTTCGAACAAGTCAACCAAAGACTAACCGATTTTAATAAAAACAACAACCGAGCCGAAATTCAAGTGAATAGAGTACAAGAGTGTAAGAGTAACTTTGAGGATTTCGTGAGGAAGAAAGACGACGATTTGAAGTACGAGAGGAGGAGACATACGTTTGAGAATCGCGAGAGAGAGGGCGATGAGAGATTGAGGAGAGTTAGTTTGGAGAGTCCGAGGTAAGTGCCGAGGCGGTGGGCGAGTTGAGGGTTGATTTGGTGATTGCAGGAAAGAGAAGACGGCGCCGACGTACTGTATCAAAGACATGAAAGCAATTTTCGAATCAAAGTCGAAACAATAATCAATTTTGTTGTAAGGATGAAAGTGTTTTTATTTTTTTATGGTGAGGATTTTACACCATCGTATTTTGTTTTTGTTTTTCTCTGATAGGAGAAGTGAAAAGAACTGGTATTTATTTTTATATGAATGGTTGCACAGCTGGATAATTAAGTTTTTTTTATTATTATTAGTCGTTATTTTGATATTAATCAAATGTGATAACCAATTTCAACGTTTTGTTAAGGAAAAGATTCTTAGTATGTAAGGCCTAAACGCGTACTTTTTATAAGTCTTTCGCTCTTCAACAATTTGCCAAAAACTCTGTTTTCAAGAAATTTTGATGTTGCATAATTAGTAGACTGACCAAATATAAGAGTCATAATATATTTAAAAAGAAACAAAGAACAACAAATAGGTTTAATAGACAATAATTGAATTTTTACAGTATTGCACCATCTCCAATTATTTATTTACATTGTAATATCATGTACATAGTGTAACTATGCTTGACATGCGAATATTTCAAATTATGTTAAATAAATTACATATTATTATTTTCCTTCTTTGATAATACAGGAAACTGTAATCCTTACGTATTATTTCAAATAGTCAAAGGCAACTCTTCCAAAATTATCCTTAATTTCCTTGTCAGCTCCCATTTTTATTAAATATTGATACATGTCTTTTTGCTGTTTTCTAGCCGCACAGTGCAATGCAGTAAACCCATTTGAATTAGTAACATTTATGTCAAAACCTAGCTCAAGAATATATTCAATTAAATCAACGTAACCTTCACTAGTAGCTAAAAACAATAAATTAAAATCAACATTATTATTACAAAAAATATCGGCCCCGTTTTCAATCAGTAAACTACAAATATCCCGATGCCGCCCTAGTACAGCTTCGTGCAACGCAGTGTTACCACAATTATCCCTAACATCAACATCTAAAATCCCTAAATCGAGCAAAATTTTGACAATTTCAAAATTTCCATGCAAAGCTGCTACATGTAACACACTTCTACCATTCTTGGTCTTCGTTGCACAATCGCCCCCTTTGTCGACTAGATACTTGAAAATAGCCCCACAGCCCCCTCTTGCCGCCAAATGCATACATGTCCACCCGTCTTTGTTTCTATAATTAATTAAAGCGCCACTATCCACCAAAATTTCGACAGTCTCGAGACACGTTTTCGTACAAGCCAACATTAAAGGGGTCCAATCGGCACGTTTCAAAGCGTTGACTTGAGCCCCCTTATCGAGTAGCAGTTTCACAATTTCGGGTTGTGAGAATTGAGCCGCCTCATGCAGGGCTGTTTTGTTGTCGTTATTTGTACAGTCGACACTCGGGGGCTCGAAAGACAGGAGATATTGGACGGTTTCGATGTGCCCCAAACGGGAGGCACAGTGCAAGATTGTGTCACCAGTGTCTTGGTATTTTAAGACACTCCAGTGGCATTTTAAAGCGGAAATGGGGGCAATGTCACCCGAGTGAGCCTGTTTGAGGATTTTGGCAATTTGACGTTGGGTTAGGGACATTTTTGAGGTTAGGGCAACTGTCACAAATTGAGGTTAAGTTTTTGGAAATTAATTAAAATTTCTGTGAATATTTTCTTTTAAATAGGTAAATATGTTAGTGTTTTTGAATACAGTGTAGCGAAGGCTTTAATTAGTTTTAAGTTTATTAAATGGCTGGTAGATAACTGGTGTATTGTTAGTTGCATAACATCAAACCACATGAATTTACGTTTACTGAAATTGTGACGATTAGGTAATGGCTTATTTCCCACGTTCCGAATAAAACTTTTTGTTTCTTTAATAGGTGCCCCCCCAAAATAACGATCAAACAAATTCGTGTAATTTCATCGATTTATGCCGGTGTGACTTAACCTAACGATCACGTCCTATGATTACTTCATGACTTTAAGTCGGCGTATTTGAAAGATGAAACATTGATTTCAGATAATTCTTATCAAATTGTATTCAAATAGTCTCAATAGTCATTTCTGTGACTCATTCCCGGTTATTTTATGCATAAAAAGCAATCGTGTGACCGTCACGCGTCATAAATACAGTACGCGATCAAAATGACATGAGTAATTCGAGGGTGTTGTCTGTTTTCCTCTTAAAATCCGAATTAAGAGCTTTCCGTGATTGAAAGTCCATCTCAACGTGACATTAAAACCATGTTCTGTTAATGTTTAGTGGAATTTGTTTAGTTCAAATTGTAAAAAATGTCGAATTTGTACCGGACCGTGTTGGACTCGTTTTGGAGTGAGTACGTTTGGTTGCCCCCAAACACCACCTGGAAAGACATCGCCCCCGAGGCGAGCACGGAAATCCACCATGCGGACTACCGGCACCTCCTGTACCCCCTGCCGATGGCCCTGGTCATGCTTTTCCTGCGCTACGTCTTGGAGAAGTAAGTTGAGGTTATGTCACCAGTGTGCCCGAAATTGACCCTAATCGCATTGCAGGTATTGGTTCGCCCCCGTAGGAGTATCCATAGGAATCAAAAACACCAAACCAAAGAAGGCCCCACATAATACGGTACTAGAAAAGGCGTACATCCAGTCGAAAAAATGGAAACACAAGCAGGTAAAACAGCCCCTTTATGGGCCACCCGACCCCCAAATTAACTCCAAGTAGATTCAAGGGTTGGCGAAACAAGTCGATATGAGCGAGAGACAGGTCGAAAGGTGGCTCCGATTACGCAAAGGCCAGAATAAGCCCTCCACTTTAACGAAATTCTGCGAGAACTCCTGGCGGTGTCTTTATTACACCTTGAGCTTCATCTACGGCCTCGTCGTGCTTTGGAACAAGCCCTGGTTGTGGGACATCAACGAGTGTTGGTGAGTCAACAGCTCGAACCGTGTCAAGGTTAAACAAACAATTTGGTTAAAAGTACAAAAAATTTATTTAGAAAAATATCACACTTTTTTACGTTTCAAGCGGAACGAGAGGCTGCGTTTTTTCGGTGTTTTCTCTTTAATCGTTTCTTCGTTTTTCATTATGTTTTCGGTCGATTTGGAGGCGTTTGTACGCCTCAAGTGGGATGAATCGCCATAGTCGTAGATGTCTGGGGGCGGTTTGGGGCGGGAAATGAACGACTTGGCTCTGCGTAACATTTCACCTGTGACAATTGTGCTATCACATAAATTATTGTCTTATCATAATCGATAAATTGAAATCATTCTACAAGAATTAATTTTTAGTCTTATCGCCAAATACTTTAATTTTTTATTTGTGTTGGTAAAATTGTATTTTTTGGCTGGTTAATGATAAGATAATAAAACTTTGTGTAAATATTTAAGTCATTCAAATCTAATTGCTCTACATTTAATGAGAAATTTTCTAAAACTTGTAGAATATGTATGTGATAACACATTTTTAATCAGGCTATTGGTATTTAAATTGATTAATTGTGTAATAGATACGAACACAGTTTAATATTCGCCATTTTATGTACGTAATGTTTGTTATAGCTTTGTCTATTTTTTATCTTTATCACCAAGATTAAATTATATGCTTTAATTATACTTTATGATTAAAAAAAATGTTTTTTTTCTAGTCGGCCATGATTTCTATTTTGGGGAGTTGGTAGAACTGTAGTATTCAAAAATTTGGGGTTTTACGCGACTTAATTATACAGGGTGATTTTTAAAAAACGGCAAGCGCTGTAGAATTTTAATTTATGGTCCGATTTCAAAAAAAAAATAAAAAATAAATTAAATGGCTTCTAATATAGTATAATCTGACGATTTTAGAATTTTTCTAAATGTCATAATAAATTTTGGGCTATATTCAAGTCTCTAATTTTAAATTGGACCATATATTTTTTTCTTTATAATTGGGAAGGTAGTAGTTTTTTTGAAACAGACATGTACAATGTTTCACTTTTACTAGAAATTATTGTTTTAAAAAATATCAAAGTTAAAAAAATAATAAAAGTTAATAAGAGAGAACGCTGTTATTATAATGTCTAAAAGTAGCAAATAAAAGAAAAATTGCCAATATTTTTTCAAATTTTTAATAAGAAAGGACACTAATAGTTACCTATAACAAATCAGAAAAACATATAATTTAGTGTGAAAAAATGTTAAAAAAAATTGTATCTATAAAAATTTCGAAGTTATGAGAGTTTAAATTTTGCAATTTGACTCTATTTATTTCTGTTGGAAAAATAATTTTTCAAGTTTTTTTGCTACAGGCTATTAGAAGAGGAAACAAGGAAGCTATATCCTAAATTGTAACTCTGTTCAATGTTATTTGTGGCTTTTATTGGCAAAATTTTTGTATCTTTACTAAATAATTGTAAAAAAACACATACAAGATCATCAGTATGATTAAATAGACATAAAAAAGTGTCAAATGTCAAAAAATAAATGTCAAAATTTTTTGTCAGAATTTTTTGAGCATTTTTTTCATGTTCCTGTTATCTTATCTTACATGAAGTTTTTCTCTGGGGCGCGAATTCTGGCACACCCTGTATAACAAAAATTGATTTTCCAGTGAAAACATTGAATATAGCCCAAAATATACAGAGTGGTTATAAATGATTTTCATCTACCCAGCTGTGAATTTTCCATGTAAAATAAAAAATGCCGCTTTACGAAAATAGGGGTACCTACTTGTAACTCAAAATTAAAAAATCGCCGTTTACTAAGCGTCCATTTCGAAAATAGACTTCAATTATAAACTTGTTTTCTTCCAAAGTATACATTATTATCAATTATTATTGGAACTTAGTTGAAACAATAAAAATTTAATTAACAACAATTTATTATTAATTAATAAGTGACACTAATGACAGAACTAGAGCTTTCAAAAAAGTAGAGCGGCACAAATAAAGTTACATGCAAAAAAATTCCAAAGCTGGCTAGATGAAAATCATTTATAACCACTCTGTACTATTGAATTTATAAAAATTCTAATTATAATTATGTACTGTGTGATTGTTTTAAAATTCGTGTTGTAGTTATTCATGACACATACGTCATCAATGAAACGTATCGCGTAACTAGAACAATATATATTGGATAAATATCAAACGTCACATTTGAATTTGAATCATTTACAACCGACAGTGTAGTCTTGAAAAAGACAGATTTTTGATGAAAATCGGGAAAAATGAGACAGCACACGTGGAGACAACCAAAACTACAAAGAGTAAGTTATGTTATGTTGATGTTATGAAGTTACGCAATACTGATGTAAGTATCATGGATAACTAGAGCAGACAGTTAAAGTTAAAAAATCACACGGTACATTTTTTTTTTAATTCTTGAAATCGGGCCATAAATAAAAATAGCGCCTGCTCTTTTTTAAAAATCATCCTGTAGATTGGTTTGTATTGAAATTTTCTAGAGTTGGCAACACTAAAACATCCATTAAATTGCCAATTAAGTCACGACGATCATATAATTTATTTACGACACCGTAAAAAATCATTAGGTGTGAAATGACGTGTCTTTTAAGGAAAAAAACTCTGAATTTTTTTCTCCAGGAACGGTTTTCCACACCAGTCGGTCACCAGCGACATCTGGTGGTACTACATGATCTCGATGTCGTTCTATTGGTCGCTTTGCGTCAGCCAATTTTTCGACGTGAAACGTAAGGATTTTTGGCAGATGTTCATCCACCACATTGCCACGATTGTCCTGATGTGTCTTTCGTGGGTGGTGAACCTCTTTCGTATCGGTAGTCTTGTCCTAGTCGTTCACGATTGCGCCGATATTTTTCTCGAAGCGGCAAAAATGGCCAAATATTCCGGATACCAGAAGGTCTGCGATACCATTTTTGGGATTTTCACCGTATTGTGGATCGCGACGAGACTGGGAGTGTATCCGTTTTGGATAATTAAAAAGTACAAAACATTCAAATTTGATCAAATTGGGAGTACATTACTTTTTTTTGTTGCAGTACTTCAATAGATGCGCCGAAGATAGTCCCAATGTTTCCAGCTTATTATATATTTAATAGTCTGTTGTGTCTTCTCCTAGTTTTACACATTTTCTGGACGTATTTGATATTAAAAATCGTCGCTAATTCTCTCAATGCTGGCAAAATGGAAGGAGATATCAGATCGAGCAGCGATGACTACAGTGAAGATTCGAAATCTCAATGATTTCAAACAATTGCGACGTTTTATTGGCTTTAAATAATTGTATCGAGCCAATTCCAGTTCGTTTTTTCATTCTACACTAGATAGAAACGTACAAACTGTTGTTTTGTACTTATTTATATAAAAAAATATAAGAATTAATTGCAATCTGAAAGAATTTTGGTATTTGACATACCGTGGCATTTTTAGTTACATTTATTTATAAAGAGTCCAAAGGTTTAACCAAAATTAAATTTTTTGATGAAAAAACACCGATTTTTATTTAACCCGATCCAAACATTCAAATTTCCCGCTTTGACGACGTAGCGCCATCTAGACTTTTCAAATTTTGAAAAATGTGAATCTGACATTTCTAAACGTCATAATGCAATAAAATGTCATGGCTGTATTCTTACACACACTTTGGGATGAACTAGTATGGGTAGTCACGCCCACGAAATATGGCGGCATCCAAATCCAATATGTCGATTACTGGAACCTCCTTTACCCACTACCAATGGCCTTGGGAATGTTATCTTTGCGATTTTTACTTACCCATTATTGTTTTGAGCCTTTGGGGATTCACCTTGGTTTGAAAAAGCGCAAAATCAAGATGGCGTTTCCTAATCCGGTCCTGGAAAGTGTATATTCCACACTAAAAAGTATGCCTAAGGATCAGGTAAGTTTTGAAATTAAGTTGGCAACTTGAGTCATAGGCCACTTTGATTGTAGATCGCAGGAGTGGCCAAACAACTCGACATGAGTGAACGAGAAGTGGAAAAATGGCTCCGTCTAAGAAAACATCAAGATCGGCCATCGGTTTTGTGGAAATTTTGTGAAAATTGCTGGCGATGCAGTTACTACACGTGTCTTTTCACTTTTGGGTTGGTAGTACTGTGGGACAAGCCATGGTTGTGGCATATAAGGGAGTGTTGGTACGACTGGTGTTGTATAGTTTCACTCAGCTCCGTCTTGTGTTGCAGGACCGGATATCCGGCTTCACTGACCATCACTAATGACATATGGTGGTACTATATGCTGTCACTCGCATTTTATTGGTCTTTGGTAGTGGGCCAATTCTCACTCGACGTCAAACGCAAGGATTTTTGGCAAATGTTCATCCACCACACCGCCGCCATCTTGCTTTTAAGCTTCTCATGGTTGGCGGGAGTTTTCAAAATCGGGACGTTGGTACTCCTGGTTCACGACTGCGCCGACATTTTTGTCGAAGCGGCGAAAGCCGCCAAATACGTGAAATATGACACAACTTGTACAGCCCTGTTTTCGATTTTCACCCTAGTATGGATCGTGACAAGGTTGGGGATTTACCCGTTTTGGATCATCAACCAGTAGGGATTTTACTTTTAGTGACTTTTTTTACGTTGTGTTTGCAGGACTTTGCTAGAATCTCCCAAACATCTACCGAATTTCCCCGCCTACTACACGTTTAATATTTTATTAATACTTTTACTCGGGTTGCACTGCTTTTGGACGTATTTGATTGTCAAAGTAGCAGTGGCGGCGTTTGGGGCGGGCCATGTCGAGGGGGACGTCAGGTCGAGCAGTGAGGACGAGTCGGGCGATAATTAAATGACGTCACAATAAAGCATCACAGCCTACTAGTTGTTTCATTTAATTAGAAAAAAATAGTATTGTTTGATATGTGGCTAGATACGGGTATGGATTTTGGTAACAAACGCGAAAAAAATATTAAGGAACTCATTTATCCGATTATTTTGGCCCCACTTGTGCTCATCATCCGTCATTTGTCCGAAAAGTGAGTTTATTTAACAGTAAAACAATAATTTCTTGATCAAAGATACATTTTTGGGCCACTGGGGGTTTGGTTAGGTGGACCGGTTAAAACCCCACTTTTAACAAAATTCACCGAAAGTGTTTGGAAATGTTTGTACTTCACATGCGCCTCACTCGGGGGCGCTATAATCCTGTGGCCCAAGCCATGGTTGTGGGACATAAACGAGTGTTGGTAAGTCTACATTTCGCCCGAGTTGCATACAGTATTTTTTCTAGGACTGATTTCTACAACCAGACGGTACCAAGCGACATCTGGTGGCATTTCTCCATTTCTTTGACGTTCATGTGGTCGTTTTTGCTCAGTCTCTACTTCGACGTGAGACGCAAAGACTTTTTTATAATGTTGGTACACCACATTTCAGTCATTATTTTTGCGTGTCTTTGTTGGAATGCCAATTTTTTTCGCATGTTGAGTCTTGGGTTGGTTTTGCACGACTGCTGCGATATTTTTCTAGAGGTGTATACTGTATTTTTCCTACCAGGATGAGCATTTTTTGTTTTAGGGTGCCAAAATTGCTAAATATTTAAAATGTCAAAGGATGTTTCACACATTTTTTGTTATTTTCACCTTGGTTTGGGTGGTTACAAGATTGGGTTTTTTCCCGTTTTGGATAATTAAAAAGTAGGTATTGTCTCATTTGTGCTTTATTTTGTTAGAACTGTTTTAGTGTCATTTTGGACGTCCCTAAAATTCTGCCAAACTTCACTTGTTTTGCCATGTATTACATATTTATTGCCTTTATGTTTCTTTTTCTCATACTTGACTTTATTTGGACGTTCTATATATTTAAAATGGCGGCCTCTTTACTCGCTAGAGGTCATTTAAAAGGAGATGCAAGATCAGATGATGAAGAATGATTATTCTAATCATGAAAAAATAAAGAAATTTAAACAAAATGTGTTTTTTTTATACGCTCCTAAAAATGTGTTTTTTTCAGACTAAGTGAAATAGTGGTTTTACGTAGGTGCAATATTTATCTTTAACCACTATTTTAGAGGATTTAAGCATACATAATAAGAGGTTTGAATATGTTTTTGAGAGCTTGTTGTGTAACAGTTTTTGCGGACTCACTGGCTATTCCAAACTCGGATTCGCCTCGTCTGGAAGCAACAATTTCTCCGCAAAAACTGTATTTTAATATATTTAATAACTGTAACTGTAACCAAAATATCTAGTTTATAAGCTAAAATTGTAAATGTGTTCTTATCGCTAAGATAAAAAGCAAATATTTTTATTTTTGAGCTAGTTAAAAATAATTTCAACCAACTTTAGTATTTCTTTGAAGCTCAACAGTTCGAAAATGCTAAATTTTGATTTACAAATTGGTGATTCAAGAAAACGGAATTATTGGGAATTGACTTATCCCATACTTTTAACCCCATTTATCCTTCTTGTACGAATTGGCCTCGAAAAGTAATGTTTTGATAATTTGAAACGATAAGTGTGACACTTTATTGTAGATTTGTGTTTCCAAAATTTGTAAACCCGCTTTTGGAAAAAACAATCCAAAAATCCACAAAATGGAACTCAAATCAAGCCCAAGCTGTGTCAAAAAATTGTCTCAAAAACCGAATAAATTTACGAAAATTGAACGAAAGTTTATGGCGACTAGTCTATTACTCTTCTGTTTGTGCTTACGTTTTGTGGGTCCTGTGGGACAAACCTTGGTTTTGGGACTCAAATAATTTCTGGTAAACTCTCTAATACAACGATTTTTTTTTAATTTTTGTTTTTCAGGATTCATTTTTACAGCCAGAGCGTTTCCACTGATATTTGGTGTCACTTTATGATATGTACGGCGTACATGTGGACTGCTTTGTGGAGCATTTATTTCGATATTAATCGAAAAGATTTTTTTCTAATGCTTATACACCACATTGGTATTATTACAACTTCGTTTTTTGTATGGAAAATGAACGTTATACAAATGTACAGCGTCGCATTGTTGTTACATGACTTGTGTGATATTTTTCTCGAAATTGCCAAAACTGCAAACTATTTAGGCTGTAAAAAGGGGTGTAATGTGGCTTTGGTTGTGTTTACTGGAGTTTGGATTGTGTGCAGATTTGGTTTGTATCCAAATTGGGTCATTCGCAGGTAATTAATAGCAACTAGTTCGTTCATATTTTGATTTTTTTGTAGATGGTTAGTGGATGCGCACCAGTTTTTGCCCGACTTGTCCAATTATCTGGCTTATTACATAATGACTGGGTGTTTGTTCACTTATGTACTCCTCAACTCGATTTGGACTGTTTCTATAATTAAAATTGTTGTTAGAAATGTGTGCTCCAAAACTGGTAAGGATTGATAAACGTTGGCTGTGTAGGCAACCAAATATACACTATCAATAAACAAATTTAAATTTGCCGCCATTGTTTGTGTCACCTGTCAGCCGTCATTCAAAATCGCTAATTCTCCAAAATTGGCCCGAAATCAATCATTACTCGTGATTAAATCCCAATGGGTTCATTATTGACTCGCCGCCCCCGTTAGCCGCCCCCTGCGGCGCGTACTCTCGTTCAATCCTAGTGTGCAACGAACCGGAAATACGTCAAAAAACAAATACGCATCTGCATCGGCTGCCATTTTATTTTAGTGACAAGTGCGTGCAAGCGTATTTACAAATACGCTTAAATTGTGTGTCTGTGTGAGGGTGCGTGAGTGAGAATGTCGGTGGAGTACCTCCAAGTGGCCGAGGACGAGGGCGAGGAGCCCATCGAGTTGCCCACGGAAGATGACGGGACTCTACTTCTGAGCACTCTGGCGGCACAGTTCCCGGGCTCCTCGGGACTCAAGTACAGGAATCCCGAAACGAAAGCGATGAGAGGGGTGCGATTGAGCGAGGGGCGGCTGCATCCGCCGCCGGAGATCGGATGGGGCTCACAGATTTTCTACTGTGTCTTTCCCAAAGGTGCGAGGGGTTGGGGTTATTTATGATAATCATAGGAGGTTGTGCTTTTTTGACATCTGTGACGCTGTCATAAGGCAGTCAATTGAAAATTGATTTTTATTGATTGTCTTTTATTATTCGCTAGTTTGTTTCGTTTGTAACAGAATTTCAAGGTCAATAATGTCAGGATTTCAATTGTAGTCCAGTGGCGTACCCTGTCACAAGGAAATAAAAATAACATTCTTTGATTTACAGATTTGTCAACAAGAGATTACCACCTAACATTTGAATTTTTAGGAAAATACGTTTTTCATGTTGTTTGTAACTAGAATTTTCAGTAGTAATTTCGATTGCCTAGGGTTGGTTACTCCTTGTTGTTGACGGTTGACTTTTTCTGTCAACCTGCTGTCAACTATCAATTGAGTTATCTTTACAAGCTGACAGGTGACTTAACCTAAATTTTGACACTAGTTACGATATCTTTTGTTTGTCACTACAAACTATCCTAACCAAATTTATGGCAACCTATTCACGAATATCCCTAAATCCTAGAGAGTAATTTCTTGTTGATACAATAATACATTATTATATCAAAAATTGATTTTTATTGATTGTTCTCGATAATTCGCTACTTTGTTTTGATTGCACGAGAATTTCAAAGTCAATAGTGTCAGAATTTTAACGCTCTCCAGTGGCGTAGCTGTTATCGATGACGTATGATGTGTCATTTGCGATAAGGAAATAAAAATTACAAGCATTAATTTACATTGTTTATTACAAAAGGAAATTGTTTGAATGTTTAAAAGAAGATTGACATTTCTAAATAGTTACAAATTGTCTTGGATTGTTACGTTATTTTTAAATATTTTTATTTATAAGAAAATAAGAAATATTTTATTTTAATGTAATTTAGATTAAAATACAATAAAAAACTAATTATAGTACCTCCATTGGCAAATTTAAAATTTGTCCAGGTTATTAAATCTTTCTTACTTTTTAATCAGTGATTTATGTTCTTTTAAAGGTTATTTATTATTGTTTTATTTCATATTAAAATTTTATCAGTTGCACAACAAGAATTAATTTAATTTTTTTTTAATTTTTGTTTGGTGCTAATTTAGAGGTTTTGAATGTTTACCTTTTTAGTCATAAGAATATAAAAAAAAATTGCAGTTTTTCTTTTTGATGTAAACTAAAAAAGGTTATATTACTTTTTTTCATGTTACTGCTAAAAAATTGAGAATTTTAGAAATATTGTCAAAGAAGGCTATGAATTTTAATATTTAATGTTTTTCCAGTGGCGTTTTTAATAAAATGTGTTTTTTTTTTAATTTAAAATTTAAAAAGAAAAATGATGTGGTGTTTTTGCATATTTTTGAAATCATTTTGAGGTCATTTATTGTTGTTTTATGTCAAATTAGAATTTTTATAGGAGCACAAGAAGAATAAAAAATGTTTTTTCTTATTTTTGTTTGGTTCTAATCAAAATTATTAGAGGTTTTGAATTTTTAACTTTTGTAGTCATCAAATACAGAGTGATTATAAATGATTTTCATCTAGCTAGTTTGGAATTTTTTTTGCATGTAACTTTATTTGCAACGATCTACTTTTTTGAAAGCTCTAGTTCTGTCATTAGTGTCACTTATTAATTAATAATAAATTGTTGTTAATTAAACTTTTATTGTTTCAACTAATTTCCAATAATAATGGATAATAATGTATACTATTTTCGAAGTGGACGCTTAGTAAACGACGATTTTTTTGAGTTAAAACAAGTAGGTATCTCTATTTTCGTAAAGCGGCATTTTTATTTTACTTACATGGAAAATTCACTGCTGGCTAGATGAAAATCATTTATAACCACATTGTATGATAAAAAAATTACTTATTTTTTTTACTTATGAATTAAATACAGGGTGCGCCAGAACTCGCGCCCCATAGATAAATTTCAAGGAAGATAAGATACCAGGAACATGAAAAAAATGTTTAAAAAATTCTATCTGTCAAAAAATTTCGTCATTTATTTTTTGACATTTGACTTTTTTTTTCAAATTTCTTTCATGTAAAAACCTAAATAAAATGATAATTTTATAATCATTGGGTAAAAAATTTAAATTGTCAGAAAGGCTATGAATTTCCGATGTTTAAATGTTTTGTTCAGTGGCGTAGTTAAAAGGGGGTACGACAAAAAAAAAGATTTTTTTGTCGTTTTTCAATCATAAATTAAAAATTGATGTTGGAGTCGTAAACAAGCAGTAATTTTTCTGTGTTTTTCAGAAAACAAACGGAAGTCGGACGACAATTTAGAAAATTCAACAGCGAAAACGAAACGTATGGAAACAAAACTAAGATGTACAGATTTGATAGTGTTAGGATTACCTTGGAAAACAACTGAACAGAATTTACGGGAATATTTTGAAACGTTCGGTGAAGTTTTGATGGCTCAAGTAATAAATTAAGAATTTTTCAAGCAATTATATAAAAAACGATTTTTTAAGGTTAAGAAAGACCCCAAAACCGGCCAATCGAAAGGCTTCGGTTTCATCCGATTCGCATCGTATGAATCCCAAATGCGTGTGTTGGCCCAAAGGCACATGATTGATGGTCGGTGGTGTGACGTCAAAGTACCCAATTCTAAAGTAAGTCAATTTTTGACTCGGCTTTGCCTCACAATAACCGATTTTTCTAGGAAGGTCTGATCCAACAAGTGCCCTGCAAGGTGTTTATCGGCCGTTGCACCGAAGAACTAACTGCCGATGATCTTCGCGAATATTTTGGCAAATACGGCGAAGTCACCGATGTTTTCATCCCGAAACCGTTTCGCGCGTTCAGTTTCGTCACATTTTTGGACCCCGAAGTGGCCCAAAGTCTCTGCGGCGAGGATCACATCATCAAAGGTGTGTCAGTTCACGTTTCAAATGCCGCCCCCAAATCGGAAACACGAGGTGGCGGTTACGGGGGCGGCGGACCGCGAGGTGCCAATCATGGTAATAACAGGAGCGGACCGGGATCAGACGGACCAGGAATGTACCAACAAAGATACAATCCAGGACCGAATCAGGGGAATTGGAGCAATCAAGGACCGAGGGGGAATATCGACATGCCAAATTTACAGGCTTTAGGTGAGTTTTATTAATATTTAAGTTTACTTCACTCGCTACGCTTGTTTAGTTAAGTTTTTGACCCCGGCCTCCTTTGTCAACTCCTCTTCCAAACTCCCGATTAACAAGATTTAACCAGTCTAGGGGCAAGGTGAGCCTTTATTTGTTTCCTTTCCTTACTATACATACAATTCCGTAATGTTTCAAGTGTTTGAATGATTGTAGGTTATGGTTTGATGTTTCTGTGAAGAAAAAATGTTGCTGTTTAATTATTATTAGTCGTTTGTTATGAGTGTAATTAATTGAGTAAAAAATTTCGAAATCGATGAATGTGTTGCGATGTGTTCCCCATTATAGGTATAACCGGTCAAGGTCAGCAAGGTAGTAACCAACAAAGCTGTAATCCGTTGGGTTTGGGTTTGAATTTGAGCGCTTTACCCATGAATCCCGCTCTGGTCGCTGCCGCATTGAATCAAGCAGGCTGGGGGCTTATCGGTAATTTACAGAATCAGCCCGAACCGAATTTCAATCAGGGCTTCAACAACGGCCCCAACAATAACAGCGGTAAGGGTCAAAAAAGTGCGCGAGTAGATTGCGAGACGTAGTCGAGTGCGTTACACAATTTAGTGTGGAAAAAAAATATCGCAATCTGCTCGTTGTCTCGTCCCCGTGCCTCTGTTACGCTTCCGTGGTGTTTTAGGCAACACGCCGAACGGCAGCAACCAGGGGGGTAGCAGCAATCCAGGTTTTCTCAATTGGATGAATCAGGGTGGCGGTCAAAATCAAGATGGCGGCCAATGGCCTCGACCGCCCCCTCAACAGGCCCAGGAGAACAAGGGATTTCTCAAGTACGACTAAATCAAATAATTTTAAACCAACCAATCACAATCATTCTATCCACATCCTTTTCCTTCATTTTGATTTTTCTATTACGTTTCTTTCTGTTTTCTTGCCCACTTAGTGTGTGTCTCTCAAGTAATATAATTCAGCACATGTTGAGAAAAGCTTTCGGAAATGTTGTGTGAATGTCAAGTGGAAAATTCGAGGACTAGTCAATTTTATACAAAATATACTCATTTGTTAATATGCCGGAAGTGTGTGAGGTGATTTTGTTTTGTTTTGTATTTGTTGGTTGAAATAGTTTTCCGGAAGCTTTTGCTTGTAATGTAGATTAGTCTAGGGAAAAAGAAAATGTATTGAATATTTGGTGATTTTGATTTGCCGAAGTTGGCAGTTCTGTTTTTTTTCTTCTAAGTGCATCACGACGGTTGGATCTTTCATCGTAAGAGTTTTAAAAAGATAGTGACTGTATATTTAATTGTGTTTGACTGGGTTTTTAAAGGAAAATTATGTAAAAGAGGTGATAATATTATATGAGTGCAGATGATCTGTGTTTTGTTTTTTATTTAAGTTGATAACGATAAATCCTTGATTGTCGTAGAGACGGCGCCACTTGTACTTAAGTCAGTTTTAAGTCAAGTGTGCGCCGTCGTAGTGCTCCTTTCTCCCTGTGTCTTGACAGATTGCATGAAGAGACTTGAAATTAAACAAAAGTGTGGTGAATGAGTGTAGTAAATGGGGGACGAATGGTGGGACATGCAGGGTGTGAAGACGTCTGACTGAGTAAGTTTGATTCAAATTTTTGGACAAAATACACTGATTGATGGTCGACTTTAACACTGATTGGAGGTAGAATTGAGTCACGTGATTAATTAGGGTTTTGTTTAGGTACCTGGGATTGGTATTGAGGCCCGGAGGCGTAACACACAAGACTGAGCTCGAGCGATGGAGATTCAAGATTATTTTAATAAGATTGTTGAATAAATTGTTGGAAATGAAATATGCTTTATTTTCACCACTACTCAGTTAAGTACACACAAAACTCTCTATACTTGTTAAAAATGACCGAAATAATGTCAATCTTGACGAAAATTAACCAAACCAAGGCTAAGTACCAAACAACAGTGAATAATCTTGACAGGATCCACATCCTTCTTGAGTGTTTTTTGGCCTGTTCCAAACTATCATCGTCCTCTTTCAACAGATACCTCCTCCCTCCCATCGTGGCCTTGACGAAGTAATCGTAGGGCTCAACGTCGTCCTCTCCATATTGGAAACTCCCATAATCCTCCTCAAGCAAGTCTTTCTGCAATTCCACCGCCTTGTCATTGAGAAACTCCCATTGGTTCCTCGAGAAGTACTCAAGGGCCATATTCGCAACAAAAATCCGTCTCTGGATTTTCACCAACCTGACAACAAAACGGAATTATCGATCAAACACCAATCTAGTGACTTACATAGGCTTTTTGCCCATGATTTTGAGCAACCCATCGAGTAGTAACGCGGGAAGTAGATGGTAGAAGTAAACTTTGAGCAAGTAGGCGTAGTAGCACTTATTAACCGACCCGGAGGGGTACCATAAGACGTCGTTGAAGGGCACCTCCTTGCATATGTCTTTTCCCATTTCGACCATGGCTCCCATGGTGATGGGTTGCACATCGTTGTTGCTGCCGTTGTAGAAGACAGGATTCAGACGGTCGGGACCCCTAAAATGGTAAGTTAAGGGAGGTTTCGGTGATTTTAAACCAACAATACGTGACTTTGACGGCTTGTTTCCAAGCCGCTATAATCATGGCCTTGGCTAGGATGTCCACAGGGACGTAATCGGCGATTACGTCGGGGTCACTGAACACGCTGTGGATGATGCCTTTGCCGGAGGCCACCAGGAGCCCCACAGGGCCGTTAAAGTTGTCAATCCAGCCCGGGAATGGCTCGAAAGCGGTGGAAATAACTAAAATTAAACATGGATAAACATTTTTTTGTTGTTTTCAAGATGTTTTTCACTTATTTTATTACATTTAATTCCTTTTAAAATCTATCTTTTTAATACCGTGCGATCAAAAAAAAATAAATTAGAGTAGGCGGTGATTCTTCAGATGGCAACTCTGATATTTGACTTCAAATGTCAGCGGAAACTTTGACAAGTTTGGGTTTTATTCTTTTTGAGTGAAATAATGTTCGCTTTAGAGCAGAAAATTTTTATTCTTGCAAGTTACAAAAATACTGTACAAGACGAAAACGGTGAATGGTCATTTTCACTTCCAGTTTTATGTGAAAAATTTCCAGCAAAAATTGTTGCCAACTGTAGAATATTAATCGTCGCGTACTCTAATTAATTTTTTTTTTGATCGCATGGTTTTAAAAATGAAAAAGAAAATGCAAAAAAACTGAGAAACGAGTATTAACATTAAAAAACCTGTGGATAGCGTAATTTTTTAAATAATGATCGTCACTAAGTAAACATTCTAACAATTGGGATGTTGCACAATTGATTTTTTTCAATCATTTGATTAAATTTGATATTGACCCCGTTTAAGTCTACGCCACTGGATTTTTTAGCAATTAAAACTTAACGGGTCCAAAGCTAAAAATAATACAAGTGAACCAAAAGTAACGCACAAAATTCATATTTTTATGGGTCATTTTTCAAAAACTTCCTCAAACAGATGGATTTTATTTTTATAAATGGATTTTGATTAATAACGTCATCTTTAATTTTTAAATGGCAACCAAAAATTTTGTTGACTGTTTTTGGTAACAGGTATACATTCTTCTATCTTTTTTAAAAGAAAATGTTACCAAAAACAGTAAACAAAAATATTAGTTGCCATTTAAAAAAATTGTGATAATGACGTTACTTAAAAATCATTGACGTTGTAAATAATAGTAACGAGAGATCAAGATAATTTGTAATCGAGTCATTCTTGGATCCGAAAACATCTGAAACGTCAAATAAAATGAAAAGTCGAAAGGTAAAATGGCATGATCAAAAAGATGATGATTTTAATAATTAAATTTATGATTTACCTTCAAAAAAGAACGGCCCTATTATTATACGAGTAAAGTCTGTTTTTTTATGTAAATGGAAATTACCAAGTCAAAATTTTGGTGAAAAAATTTGGTTTGTTTTGTGTTTTTGTCCATAGAAATTTTGTAAAAAAAATATGGTTATGTTTTCATGTTGTGATGTCAAAATTTTGACTTTTATGAATCTTGTGTGCTTGTTTGCTCTTTGTAAGTCTTTATAGTCGAATACTTGGGGACAGACATCACTATCTAATGTCCAAAGACAGAATTCAGTGCTAAAAATATTGATAGAACCACACTGTATGTACAATGTTATGGACAAAAATGAGCTTCTTACTACAACAACTTTAATAAAAAAGAGTGTCTATTCAGAAAATAGCTATTTATGTATCAAGTACGCCTAAAACCTTTTGCGTACGTGGTGCATACAAATTTTTTTTTGTTAAAGCTCCCAAAAAACGAATTCACACCTCTTACTAATTAAAAAATTTCTGTAACCAATTTTATTTTTTAGTCCGCAAACACTGTTTTTGGGGACACTGAGTACTTAAAATAACCGTTTTGCGTACTATTTTATTGAATCCGGAAAAGACTCATTTTAGGGACTCAAATGAGTCCCTAAAACAGCTGTTTTCGGGAGCGTATACAAAAAAGTTATTTTGCAAAAGATACAAGCAGGGTTTATGAAGATCGACAATAAATTTTGTCGAATTTATTAAACTGAGCTCAAAGTTGATGCATTTTCTCCAAAAACGGCGTAACCAGACCTACTAATTTAATTGCTTTCTTTTTCTTTGATATAATCAAAAACTGGAACTGCCAACTTCCTTTATTAAAATTACCATGAATGAATTTGTTAGGGGTGCCAACGTTAAGACTGTTTGACATTTCCATTTAAAAAAAAAACAGACTTTATGTCAGCAACTAACTCCAGCCCATTTTGCCGTTTTACCTTTCAACTTATCGTTTTATTTAACGTTTTATGTGCAGTTCGTTCCAAAACAAACATACGTTTTCGGATCCAAAGATGACTCGATTACAAGTTATCTTGATCTTTCGATATAATGAAAATGTATCATTCACAAAAATGAAGTCGACTTGTTCAAGGATTTTTTTTTTTAATGACCAATAAAATTAGGAATTTTGTGCGCTAGTTTTGGTTCCACTGTATATTCCAAAATCAAAATCAAAATATCTAGTCTAGTAGTCTTCATAGCAAAATACAGAACAATCTGTATCAAGTCTGTCAAGTCAAGTCTGTCTATCAAGCAAGCCTAGAAATTTAGAACGTGTGTCTGTGAAAGATAACATGTCACAATGACAACCAAGAAATGTCAAAATAATTTTTATGTAAACTGTAACAGTTTTACTACATCTCATTTTAAGGTGTTTTAAGACGTTTCATATAGCAATTCAATTTGCTTAAATCAATATTTTAATTATTAGAAAATAATTTTTTGACATCTAGCTGATATATGAACTAGCTGCCAGGCGACAATGTCGTCAACGTGTACGCCTTCTTGATAGAAAGATTTTTTGATCGTACTCTATTTTCTTGCTTGTTTTTCTTTCATTTTCAATTCAAGTGATGTAAAAAATAAAAGTAAGAAAAGCGTAAAGCATTCTCATTAAATTCTCATTAATTACTTCACAAGAAAGTGGTTTATCAATTTATTATAAATTAGTTTTGCAATGCTTTCGTAAAATGGTTACATAAAAAGAATGTACCCTATTGTTTGTCCCGATTAAAAATTCAATTCAATTTGAATTTTTAATGATATTTAGGGTACAATAACCTTCCGGACTCACCAATCGATGGTCGAAAAATCACCGCCGGTATTTTCCCCTTGCACAAATCGTAAACCACATGCTCGGCCAATGATTTGGTAAAAGTGTAAGTGTTTGGTAATGGATGTACATATTTTTCAGTCAGAATATTCAAGGCATGTTTGTCAACAGTTTCTGCAATCTCAATAGTTTTCCTCCAATCAGCATGGGCCGGGTATAACTGTTCGCCAATCACCTTGCGGTCTGTGTTACAATAGGTGGTCGAGATGTGTACGAAAGAGTCCAAATTTTTCATGGCCAACGCCAAATTGACAACTTCGCGGGTCCCCCTCGTATTTAACAAAACAGCATCGGTTAGGGCATCGTCGAAACGCACAGAGGCGGCTCCGTGGAAAATAACATTGATGTTGTGGATGAGGAGTTGACGATCGGCGGGAGAAAGGCCGAGGCCGAGCCGAGTAACGTCACCATTGATGACTTTGATCTTGTCCAAAATTTTCGGTTTTCTCGATTTGATTGTGTCAAAAAGCTGTCAAAAAACACTTACTTTGATTTTAAGTCCTAAAAAACTCTTACCGGTAGGTCTGTCATAAGTTTGATTCTTTCCTCCAAACTTTTTCCTTTTTTCTCCCTCATGAGTAAGTAAATGTTTGCCAAGTCGGGGCATGATCGTAACAGCTTTTCCACTAGAACTTTCCCGACGAATCCGCTTCCGCCCGTTATGAAAATATTTTTTCCGCGGAAAAATTCGGTGATTGTTGGAAGTTCGGCCATTTCGAGTGCTTGTTTACAACTGATTTAGTCGAGTCGAAGTTGGCGTTGACCCGGACCCCGATTAACATACAATGAAAATTAATTTTCGAGTGAATTCGATGGTAGAAAAAATATGACTAAAGCAAACTTGGACAAATAACTCATTAAGAGCGGATATGGTAATCTTCATTACCTACACATGAGTTGGCAGAAATCTAGGACGGTCTTTGCTTGAAACAATTGATTAAAGAAAGTTAGATCAATTATTGTATTGTCAAAAACAATTAGAAACAGTTTTTTTGTTTTGGGCCAATTTGGGAACCAAATGTGTCCAGTTTTCGTGTTTGAAGCCTACTACGGAAACAAATTTTTGAATACTTTGACATTTGGCGTGTCGTTTTTGACACTTTATTTATTCTAAAAATTTATTTTTATTACAAAAAATGGCCAAAGGAAAAACCAAAAATAAAAAATTAGAAAAAACCGCAGCCACTTCTGAGCCAGGATTAGAAAATGTTGTAGTTGAGAAAAGTGAAGATCAAATAATTGAAGAAATTCAACCTCCTCCTGTAGAAGCCGTGAGTTCTAAAACTAAAAATGAAGAACAAATCGAACCAAATTTAGCTACAGAGCAAATAAATGAAGGGCAAAAAGAAGAAAAACCTGAAGATGTTCCTGACTTGCAAGAGCTTGAAGCGGAGGCTTCTAAACCTGATTTAAAGAGAGCTTCTTCTAAGAAAGTGTCAAAAGGAAAGAAAAGCACTTCTGAGATGAGTGTAGGGAAAAAGAAACGCAAAAAAGAGAAGAAAAGCACTTCTGAGGCAAGTGTAGGAAAAAAGAAAGGCAAGAAAGAGAAGAAAAAAGGACAGAAAGGTAAAAAGGATATTGCAACTACTGAAGAACAAGAAGTACCACCGGAGGAAGAAACCGAAGAGATTGACAAATCACCTTCTGCCGGTAAAACAGTTTCCATTACTGAAACTTCAGCCCAGAAACAAAGTAAAGTCAAAATAGACAAATCCCCGTCTGCTGTGTCAACAGAAGAAGAAACAAAGAAAGCAAAGAAAGCGAAAAAAGGTCGCTCAACCTCCGAGATTAGTGTCGGAGATGGTAAAAAGAAGAAGAAAAAGGTCAAAAAGGGTGCATCCACGTCTCAAATGAGTGTAACAGGGAAGAAAAAGAAGAAATTGAAGAAAAGTGAATCTAGCACTGAACCCGAACCATCGCAAGAACAAATTAAACCAGGTGTTTCCATTTCTGAGACTGCCATCGCCCACAAAAAGAAGAAAGCGAAAGGAAAGAGAGGCAAAAAAGTGAAGAAAAGTGCTTCAGTTCCTTCGGCAACAATGTTAACACAAGAGAAAGGCAAGCATTTGCCGACTGCTTCGGAAGTTAGTTTGAAGAAGAAAGATAAGAAATCTTCGTCAAGTTTGAGGAAAATAATGAGTTCGGGATCACAAATTGGAAAATCTTTCTCGACTGTGAGGTCTAAGACTAAATCGGTGGAACGCCATGTTTCCGTAAAAAATACCATTTCCTGAGTGTCAAATAACTAATTTTGCGTTTAGTCCCAATGGACTCTTGTAGATGCTGATTCCGATGAAGATTCAGATTATTCGTATGAAGATATAATTGAAGAGAGTGAAATCAAAAAAGCATCTAGTGAATTTAAAATAAAAGTGAAGAAAGGCAAGGGAAAGAAAGGTAAAAAAGTAAAGATGGAGGTGAGTGAAGACGAAGAACCGAAAAAGAAAAAGGGTAAAAAAGGTAAGAAAGGCAAAAAGAAAACAGTCGAGTCTGAAGAAGAAAAAGAAGAAGTGGCGATTGAGCCACAAGACGACGTTTTGGCCGAAATCGCTCGAATGAAATATTTGGCAGAACTGGAAGCCAGTGGTGAAGAAAGCGAAGCCGGAACCATCGAAACTGTAGCTAAATCAATAAAGAAAAAGAAAAGAAAGGTGTTCCAAAACAAACCATGACCCTTTAGTGACACACTCTGTTCGTTTCAGGGGCCCAAAAAGAAACTCTCGAAGAAGGAAAAAGCTCGCCTTGCAGCAGAAGCAGCCGAAAAAGCAAAAATATCAGCAGAAGAAGAAGCAGCACGAGCTGCAGAATTGGAACGAATACGCTTAGAAGAAGAACGCAAAGCTGCCATCGAGAAAGAAAAAAGAGAAACTTTTGAACAACAAATCAGAATGGAGCAATTAGAAAGCGCTCTTCAAATTTTTAACGAAGTGGTCAGTTACAACAAGAAACTAAGACATGATGCGAAGATTCAAGAAGACTGGGAGTTCTATGTGAACTGTGGTCGACTCCCAAATCCGGCCAAGTGTGACCAAATGAATACTTTTCTGCATTTGTGGGAAAATATGGTCGAACAAACGACGATGGAAGAGGCGGCGAGACGAACGGTGGACATGTTGGAAGTAAGTCGGCCATTTTTTTTCAAGTGTCATTTACATTTTTCTGTCGCTAGCTTTTGAACGAATTGGACGACTTGATTGACACAGCGGAAGAAACCGACCAATCGGTGATTGACAACTGGAAGTGGGTAAGGTTACTCTTCCGACAACAACAGGCCAAAAGTCTCGACGTTGCCACATATCGATTGTTGCGCGACATTGAGCGGAATTTGAACCGAATTAACATCCCAACGGCTGATTACAAGTACCAAGACGACAACATCGTCCTTTGTTTGTGGCTAAGGGTACAGCTGCCGACCCCACTACCCAATCCTAGACGGCCACCTAAGTACTTCCCCGAATGGCCGCCATCTTGACTTTTAACTATCAAATTTTAGACCCCGGATTGAAGTCAATTTCCCGGAAATGAAGATGGAAGTGCAATTTCCGGTCTCGATAGACGGCGACAAAATGGCGGTACGCACGCTTTACGTCAAATACGACCATCTGAGTGACTTGAGTGACACTTATCAGAAACCGGAAGTACCGGAACATTACGACACAGGTACGTTATTCTCACAGTTGGCTTTGAAATAATTTTCTTTAGATTTGTATGATGCTATGAAAATTGAATGGAGGGAGAAATTACTCTACAAGTATAATAATAGAGTAAGGAAAGAACGGCCCCCTCCTCCACCGGGAGAAGAGGAAGTACAGGAAGTCCAACCGGAAGAACCGTTTTTTGGACCGGAAGACGATATCCCGGTTGTGCCGTACCGGAAATTGGAGCCTACTGCAAGCGAATACGTTATTGCGAGCGAAGGTGACTTCCCTCGCACGCCATTGTTAATCACGTGACCTAACTCAATTACAGACGCCCTCTATAATGAAACTCGAACAAACCTCCTCAAAACTGTCAACGACCATGTTGTCAATTTGCGCAAATTTAGTATCATAGGTGGCGTTTATTCCCTCAATTTACTCAAACAGCCGCCTCAACCTCAAGATTTCGTTACGCTTGACATGAATTTGACCCCTTGCAAGTTGAAAATTTTCCACAGTTGTACCAACTTTTAATGTACTTTGTAGTGTATCTCCCCAAACAGCTCGAATACGTTGATCTTTACTTGGATTATAATCCTCCTTTGCCCCCGCCACCGGGCGTGCGTCGGGCCCCTGAAGAAATCGAAGAAGACATGAAGAAACAAGAAGAAGAACTCGATAAACTTATTTTGGTGACTTTGACGTAAGTAATGTTGGTACGAGTGTCGTAATGTTGGTTTAGTTGGCCTGATCACGTGGTTTTTCTTGAATTACCCATGGTGTGTTATTGGGACGAAGAAAGTAGAGTTTGGACGAAGAAAGAAGTTCATGATTTGAAACATAATGAAGAAAAAGGCCAATTGACGTTTAGGACAAGGAAAGGTGGGACTTTTGCATTGGCTGTGTACAGGTATGCTAACCTACCGTACCAAGCATGGGAAATCCGTCCAGAAGCCAAGTAAGTAGGAAAATTATCAGGGATATTAGTATTTTCGTAGTGGCACTATTTCGGTACAAATTACCGCCGCCATCTTGATGGTGGAGTTTAATGTCAAAGACGGCTTGATTGCATTGTCGCAATTGCAAAACAGTCCGAATAACGCGTTGCAAGACATTGTCGGGATGTATTTCTCTCTCCCAAAGTTGGTTCGGGTAAGTTCGGTTTTTGGAGTTATAGTTGGTAACAGTGTCGCGTTTTACAGATGTTGCAAAGCGCGGGAATTGACGTCTTTCCCGCATTCGACGCTTTTTGTTACATTGAAAACACTTGTGAAAAACATTGGCCAATGGAAAAACACTTGTATTTCGACATGGCCGTATTAAGTGTCTGTTTCAACTTTGCATGGTCTCGGTGGAACATGGCAGCAGGTCGCAGAGGCATAGTTCTTCAAATGAGGGAATATAATGTCGAGAAAACCAAACAGAAAAATCATTTAATGCTTCATGTTACACCACTGACTGCTATGTACGTCGACTGCACTGAAGTTAGTCAAACATTCACAGAGGAGGGGATCGAAAATATGAAGGTGACTTAAAAGAGTCGAAACGGGTTGGAATGTCTTTTTGGTTCTAGTTTTATCCCGATTTGTTTCATTTGATGAAAGGGACGTCCAGTATGGCCGTGAAGAATAAAATTGCCAAGGCGACGAAAGAAGTGACTTTTGCATTGTATGAATTACTGATTGCCACTCGTGTGGCAAGTTTTTCGTAGATTTTCACACAAATAAATCATAAAAGTGCATTTGAATTTTTTATCATAGACCCCTAATATTTAAATACGGTCCTGTCTGCAAGCAGCGCATGCGCAGTTGGTGAGAAAAATATGTTAATGTGAATCAAAAGTTATAATTAATTAATTTTTGAATGAAATTTGACTTAATTTAAGTCTAATTTTGTGATATTAAAGTGTACATGTTTATTTAAATTTGGTTGAAACCGTTGAAACGTTTTTAAATCAATAAAGAAGTGGATTGTTGACATTTTAACAATAAAAAGGTGTTTTTGTCTTCAAATTAAGTGAGTAATAGTGAAAAATGGCATTGAGTGTCTTTGATGATGCATCTTTCCTAGTTTAGTATAACTAGTAAATAAGAAACCGGAATTTTGTTTGTGAAAAATTTGAGGTTATGGTTGCCGGTTAAGCGTCTTATTTATTCAAACACCAGTCAAAGTTGTGAAAATGGAGGAGGACGACGCTATGGACATCGATGAGACAATCTCCAGCGCCCAGATAATCATCCGGGAATCGACGGGAGTGCAAATAATCGGGGGCCCCACAAGCCTGGACTCTAAAACGGAGGAGAGCGCTCCTAAAGACCAACCCTCGAAAAACCCCGACGTTGTCGTACTAGACGACGATGAGGAAGAGCCTGTTCCGTCAAAAAAGCCAAAAAAGCCTGAAGAGGACGTCGAGGTGATAGACCTAGTGGAAAAATCCGTCAACAGCAAATGTATCAATTACGCGTGCAAGAGCGGCAAAGACTTGCTAGTGGCCCCCAACTTGTGTCTCAGCTACTACCGTGTGAAAAATTCGGGTAAGGGGAACAAAGAAGTGTGTACTGAATGCTATGAAATCGCAATAAGGGAGTACGATATGCTGGCGTCTGAGCTGCAAGCGGGGAATGTCTTGTGCAATGTTGAGGTCCCCTTTAGGAATGACACAGTCGAGATCGATGATTCGGATGAGGAGGACCAGGAGGCGCGAGTGTCCCCTCTAGACGACGAGAGTTTGAAGTTTTTCGAGGAGAATCTAGAGAGGGTCTTAAGCGAGACCATGGCAAAGTTGAATGTTGTCTCTCATGCGGAAAAAGAGGTTGATTTTCTCAAAGAGAAAAATAACCGGATTAATGGCGAGTTGAGTGAGTTACAAGCCATGATTAAAGACACTAGAAACTCCTTAGATAGCATTCAGTTTAATTTATACAAAGAGTGTAGACCTGAAACGGTCGAAAAATGCGTCATTTCGATCGTTGACGATCACTACACATCAGGGGGGCCCATTGTGCGCACAGGTGAGCCACCTGTAAAAAAAAAATAGTCATCGTAAAACACAGTTTCAGAGTCCGTCTTGCCCTCCATCACCCGCAAAAGCCAGCGCACCGCCACCAAACTCGTCTCGTATGCCGAAGTGGACAGCCCCGTCGACAGCCCCAAGCCCGACGACGTCCCCATTGTCGGCAACCCTGAGCCCCTCGTCGTGCGAATCGGTCCGTTTCCCTCCTCCAGCAACCCCCAACTAATTTATCAATTTTCAGATGAAATTTACTACATCTCGCGAGAAAATTCCTCCGGTTGTTGGATTAAAGCCCGTCTCAAACGTGTCCTATACCCGGGAACGGTCTACAACGACCAACCGTGCACCACCACCCTGTATAAAATGTTAGAGTTGAAACAGCATAAAGAACGAGTAGTTGATGGGAAAAGTATCGCATCAATGAAACATTCAACGATCAGATTGGAAACGGGGACGAGGGTTATCGCAGTTTTCAAAGAGATAGGGCCTACAGGAGAACCGAGAAGGATGAGACATGAACCCTATTATCCCGGAATAGTGGCTGAGCCCCCAGTGGCGCAGAACAAGTACCGATATTTGATCTTTTTCGACATTGGCTATTCGCAATACGTGAATTATACAAATGTTCATGTTGTGTTCGAAGCTAGTAAGAATGTGTGGGAGGACATGCATGTGAATTCGAGGTCGTTTATTAAAAAGTACTTGGAGAGTGCCGATAGACCGATGGTTAAGTTGTCCACAGGACAAACCGTCAGAGTGGAGTACAATGGTAATAAAAAGTCCAGGGGGAATTTTATGAATTTATTTATCTTCGACAGGAAAATGGGTTTTGTGTAAGATTATGAGCGTCGATTGTTCACTCGTTTTGGTCTTGTTCGAATCCTTGGGTCGCATGGAGTGGATCTACAGAGGGTCCACTAGATTAAGTCCAATGTTTAAAGAAGAACAAAATGCGACGAAACGACATACAGGTGGACGGACATCAAATAGGAAGCAAAGTCCGGTAAGTAACTCGGCTTTGCCTCGGCCAAAATAACATTTTCGTTAATTAGAGCGAATCGGCTACTATCGTCCAGTACACGAAAAACGCCGACTTCGAGAAACCCGCCGAAAACAACCGAACCGTCCGAGCCGTGGCTCGGAAAAGCACCGCTCGACCCGAAAACACCTCCACTGGGGGCTTCGTCCCCTTCTTACCCCAAGTCAACAACCCCGTCTCCAGCGAACCGACCAGCAAAATTATGGTATGGCCCATCACATCTTTACTATTTTTCACGTATAAAATTGCAGTATTTCACACCACGTGACCAAGTCATTACGCAACGCCTTTACCGCGCCCATATTTGCTCCCCGGCTTGCAAAGACTACGTTAGACATAGTCTCGGCAAGTTACGGGGGCACAACCCCCTTTCTAAACCGCTGTTGTGCGGGTGGGCCCGAATGACGTTAAAAGTGAAAGGGAGAAAAGAAATTGTGTATAAAGCACCGTGTAGTCAAATTTTGCGCAATATGGAGGAAGTACATCACTATTTACGCATAACTAAGAGTGAAATGACGGTTGATTTGTTCGATTTTAATCATATGGTTCGGTGTTTGGCCGAATTTTGCGTAGAATGTAATCCAGATCCAAAAGATTTGTCGAAAGGCCTGGAACAAGTTGCGATTCCGGTGATTAACGGAATTAATAATGAAATGCTCGACTTTTGCAATTATGCGACTAAACGTGTTCCCATGGAGGATGTTCCCTTGAACACAGATCCGGAGTTTTTGATTGGATGCGACTGTACTGACGATTGTTCCGATAAAATGAAATGCGCGTGTTGGCAATTGACGTTAGAGGGCGCCAAATACATGGGAAAGAACGTCGATCCGAATACGATCGGTTATGTTTATCGTCGGTTACACGAACAAGTTTTAACCGGAATCTACGAGTGCAACTCGAGGTGTAAATGCGCTTCGACTTGTCTGAATCGAGTGGTTCAAAATCCGATGTCGATCAAATTGCAAGTTTTTCGGACGCATAATAGGGGTTGGGGGATAAGGTGTGTCAACGATGTCCCCCAGGGCACTTTTATATGCATCTATGCGGGAACCATACATACTGAACAAATGGCCAATGAGGTAATATGATCAATCGCCGGTTAACATACGAGTTATTTTTCTTCTAGGATGGAGTCACTTACGGTGATGAGTACTTCGCCGAGTTGGACTACATCGAAAATTGCGAGAAACACAAAGAGGATTATGAGAGTGATGTCAACGAACCGGAGAGCCCCCGAAGCCGTTCCGTGACTCCCGACGACGAAGAAGAAGAGAAGAAACCGGACGGGAGGCGGCGACGTTGGCAGAAGCATCCTCAAGATAATGATTTTACTCCCAGTTATCCACTCGTGAGTGGGGATTTCGAGAATTCGATGAGGTTGAGAAGGAGGAGGGAGGAGGAGCCGAAAATCGAGGAGAGATTTGTTAAAAAAGAAGAAAAAATTGAGAACGTCATGAGTGAAATCGAAACCGTTACGATTTCAGACGATGAGGATGGTAAGTGCGAGGCGAAGCCGAGTATGTGTCTCTATTTTTCCGTTTTTAGATCCGAAGGAAGTTTTGAGCTTTAATCCAAAATCGGGGTCCGATTTGGACGATAATAAACCTAGTCAGGTGTCAGTCCGAAGTTTCTTTGGAGAGGAAGAACCCTACATTATGGATACAAAAAATGCCGGAAATATTGGCCGATTTTTAAATGTACGGTAGTTGTAAAAAAAAATCCTATATAACTCACGTTTCCATTTCAGCACTCGTGTTCACCCAATGTTTTCGTACAGAATGTGTTTGTGGATACTCACGACTTGAGGTTCCCTTGGGTTGCTTTCTTCTGTTCACAGTTTATCAGAGCCGGGACTGAATTAACATGGAATTATAATTACGATATAGGAAGTGTTCCAGGACGAGTCTTGTACTGCCACTGCGGTTCTTTGGAATGTAAAGGAAGATTATTGTAGGTTATAAGAATAAAAAGTTGAATCTGTTTTTAAATAATTTTATAATAATACATCAATTTCTTTAAATCAATCTACACAGCATTGTTTTTTTTTTACATTCATACTCACGTTAAAAATGCAGTTAAAAAATCACAACAGCCAAATAATTGTCATAAATCAATAAACAAAAAACTGGTAAAATCCTGCACCAACCCTTAGTAATTTTCGCTCCGTTGAGATTCACTGGCAGTGGTGACAATAATTAAGTACCGTGAAAAACTGAAATTTCACCAGTTTTCCGATGATAAAACAGTGATGTAAAAAAATAAATTTATAAAGTAGAAATAAACTTATTGCTCGACATGCAGATCACCATCACATAAAATCTACTGTAAGTACTCGAAAACAGCGGAATGCCATTTGTACGGAAATATGCGTGTTTTTGCTCGCCACAAAAATACTGCTGTATTGCCAAAAAATCAATCATCTAATACTAGAATTTCCCCCGAAGGCTGCCTTTTGTTTTTCGTTCGAACTCAATATAAATAAAGCGGAAAAAGAAACAAGACCACTCGTCTCATGCACACCACCACACCACACTCATTGGGGGGAGTAAAGGGAAAGGCCAAGCTGCTAGACCGAGAGTACGTTTAATTTGTTTATTTATTTTTTGATGTTTAATAGAAAAAGATTAACATTGCGTGCGCCGGGACAAGGGCCAAGGAAAACAGGAGGAAGGAAAGGAGAGAAATCAGAGAACAATCGCTCGTAGAGAGGCTCTCTCATTCACACATTTTGAGACAAACAGATACAATATAGAGTTACGGCTAAGATAATTATAATAATACAGTATGTACTGGGATCGAGACGGTTACCGCCTCCGGTTCGAATGTCTGGGCCTGGCCCGCACTACACAGCACTGGTTAGTTCGTAGTCGCTGGAGATCAGCAAAACAGTTACGACACATCTTGGTCCTCTACGTCTTGAAGCTGTTCTTTGGGCTCCGCCTCGCCTAAAATTCACAAAAATCATTCATTCACTTTGACAAAAGTTTCAAATACTAACCATCTCCTTGCATATCACTGGTCCATAGCGTCAAATTATCGCGCAACAATTGCATAATCAGTGTGCTGTCTTTGTAGCTCTCTTCAGATAACGTATCCAATTCGGCGATGGCATCGTCAAAAGCCGCCTTCGCCAAACGACAAGCCCGATCGGGACTATTTAGAATCTCGTAATAAAATACGGAGAAGTTTAGCGCCAGACCGAGCCGAATCGGGTGCGTGGGTGGTAATTCCGTCATTGCAATGTCACTCGCTGATTTGTAAGCCACCAACGAATGTTCGGCGGCATCTTTGCGATCGTTGCCCGTTGCGAATTCAGCCAGATATCGGTGATAATCACCCTAGAAAAATCGATCAATGTCAATGACTCGTTCGTAAAAATAACACTATCATAAATTATGTCATACTTCAACCAAACTTATGAAATATAGAAGTGTTATCCAATATTTTATTCAGGTAACCTATGAACCACTCCAAATCTCACAAAATCAATCAATATGATAGATTGCACGAAACTTGTCACTGCCCAATGGTGATTTATTGATCAATTCATTTTTTTATTTTACGATTCAAAAATGCACCTATTATATTCAAATATTGAAAAAATTAAATATGCCAATGAAGCAAAGTTCGCAACATTAAACGCTAGATTTATGTTTATAGTTTTCTTCAATAAAAACTAATCAATTAAAGTAACGTCATTCGCTACTAATTATTAATTAATATTTTAAAAAATCGATTTAACAAGTTATAAAATAACAAAATTGTCTCGATTATACATAGAAGGTCGTTCAATTGAAGGAAATTATTCCAATAACAAGCCCACCATTATATTGTCACATCGTCAATAGGTTGTCACAAATAAATTTACCTTCATTTTATAATAGAAGACTTTCGATTCACCGGTAGACGCCGCTGGTATGAGATGTTTATCCAATACACTCAAAATATCTGAACAGATATCTCTCAATTCTTTCTCGACCTGTGACCTGTACTGTCTTATCATTTCCAATTTGTCGTCGGTGCCTTTGCTTTCTTCTTTCTGTTCAATTGACGATATTATACGCCAGGACGCTCGTCGTGCACCGATCACGTTCTTATAAGCCACCGACAGAAGATTGCGCTCTTCGACGGTCAACTCCAGGTCCAGCTTGGCCACCTTCTTCATGGCGTCGACCATCTCTGAAAAAAAAAAAAAAAAAACAATAGTCACAACAGGAAAAAATTTGCGCCACTCGGCTTCGCCTCGTGTGATGTTATTTGCCTACATAGGTACATGGTACTTATACAGACTGAGTCACATACAGGGACATTTTTTTATTAGTATACATAACCCTATGTACAAGGTTAGTCACGAGAGGGTTATTTCTGAATTTGTTTTTGTCGCAACCCATTATACATATTGCAACAACTTCTTGATTTCAAATTTTGAAAATAATTATAACTAAATCCACGATAGCTGTTATTAGTCTTGTCTCTGTGACATTATAGTAAAAAAATTATCTCTCAAACGATGCGAGATGTTTTGTTATGTTTACCAACCGACTAGGAGCATGTTTAGAAGTCGATGGTAGACACTTCAAACACCTTTTATATTAACTTAACTTGTTAATGTATATGTTGAATTTTGATTAAATATAGGTTATCTGTCAATCTGACATTTCTGGCAAATTTATCCAACTTACTTTGATTTGTAATTTTAAAGAAATAACATATTTAATTTAGTAGTTTGTGAGATTGGTATTGTTGGTTGCGGCAAAAAAAAATTCAGAAATAACCCTCCCGTGAATAACCCTGTATACAGTTAAAAAAACGGGTCAATTTCATAGTGTAGGCGAACAACATTTCAAGCTTTTAGAGGGTACTAGATACTACAATATTTAAAACTAAAATTTTGTGTCAATGCAGACTGTTCTTAGCCCTCACCCTCCTTAAACTATTTCTCACTTGAGACCAGACAAACATTTCAATTTTTTCTTCTTTGATGTACATTGTATCACAAATGGTATTAACTTTTTAAAGATGCGATTTAAGTTTTAAGACTGTTAAGTTGGCAAACTTGACACAAAACTTTAGTTTTGAATATTTTAATATCTAGTACCCTCTAAAAGCTTGAAATGTTGGTCGTCTACCTTATGAAATTGACCCGGTTTTTTTAACTACATACATAGGGCTATGTATACTAATAAAAAAATGTCTCTATATAAACAACGATCCACTAAAATAACCAATCGCAGTTAAGGCGGTACTTTACTTGTGTTAAAATGTACTCTGCAATCTTTTATTTATTATCGAAATAGATTAAGATTTTGGGATTTGGCGGGTAAAACGCGAACTATAATTCCCACGGTCCGTTTGTTCCAATATTTTGAATAGAAAAAAATATAAAAAATCGAAATATCCGGGAAAAAAAGGGTATTTTGTCTTACTCTACAGAATTTATAAAACATTTTAACAAAACTCACTCACCGCCCAAAGCATAATGGATATTTTTTAATTGAACATTCGTTGGCAGCTGTATGTTTATATTTTAAATAAACAAATAATTAGGAAAATACAATCGTCGTACACCCGACTTGTCACGAACATTATTTTTGTTACGGTGGAAGGCTCAGACAAGGATAGAGTGCCGAAGAGTTACTTGTTCTCTTTCGTCGCACAAGTCTATCTCTGTCTAACCCATACCACAAAAAGATTTCACTAATGCGACATGCGAAACCCCGAACTACACTACCGCCTTAGTCTCATTTAATATCTATAATGTACAAATCAAAAATAAAATTTAATCCAAATTTTCAAAATTAATGCCCAAATCACTATCATCATCACTTTCTTCTAAATTCATAATTATACCTTCCAATAGTATCGAGAGATCAAGATAAGTTGTAATCGAGTCATTCCTGGATCCGAAAACGTATGTCTGTAAAATGTCAAATAAAATGACACAAGTCAAAAGGTAAAATGGCATCATCAAAAAAGATTATTTTAATAATTAAATTTATGATTTACCTTATACGTCGGCGACTAATTCCAGTCCATTTTGCCGAACAAATTATCTTGATCTCTCGATATATTCAAAAAAAAGTTTCATAAGACCAGTCTTGAAGCACAAATTTAAGTTTAAAAAACGAGTGGCGTAGCTACTATTATTTGTAATTTGCCCTCTTTGAACATAATTTTTTACTTCAATCGATTTAGGGATCATTTTGACGTTTAGTAATGTCTAAATTTTAAAAGACAAAATTTGATCGAGTCGGCTTTTGACTATTACCGAAGACATCGCACATGATGTCGCGTTCTTTAATATGTTTATTAGAGAATCAAAAAGGAGGCAAATTACAGAAAACATTTTATAAAACCGTTAGAACAACTGTCAGAATGTAAAAATAATAAATTTATAAAGAATTGCAGTTTAAATTTGACCGCCTTGGAGACATATTTCATTGGTTGTTAAGAAAACGGAATGGGCGGGGCAGATAAAACATTATTCCGGCTTCAGTAAACTATGCGTTAATTGTTGTCCTGTTTGAAATATTAAATTATAAATCAACACCCTGTATATCAAGTACATGTTAGTTTTTTCAATGTTTGAGTCTATTATGTTGAATTACACTGTCAAGTTTAATGGCTGGCATTATCAATAACCACTTTGATTTAAATTTATTAATTAAAATTTTTCAAACCCAACAAAAGCCAACTTATCTGTGAGAATGTATTATGGGTTGCGTATAAAAATCGGTTAGGATCTCAATCATAAATGATTCACCCTGTATTTAAAACTTTTTCAAGGAAAACAGACGATGTCAGGTCGGAATGTCAAAAACTGTCAAACGCTGACTAGCTATAACTGTCAAATCTTACTGTAGAAATGGCGTTTTTGAAAAGAAACTCGTTTTGTTATTCGTCGTTTCTTAATTTCGATAATTGCCACACTTGCTTTATAAATCAACAATTAATCGCTTTCATTAACACAACATTCGTTCAATAAAATTTGTTTTGTACTTTCTCATAATTTACATGACGTGATTTGATTACTCATTGAGCATAACACAATCTTGAAATTTAAACAGGACGTTCAACTTGGTTCCAACTTCCTTCATTGATAAGAAAATCGATCCGTTATTATTAACATTCTCTTATCATTTATCGGTGATTTAGATACCAGGACCAGAAATTAAGTTAAATAAAATTGTTTCAATCCAAAGTGATCTCACCTGTTATAAAACAAAGTACAAACAAATGCAATAAAATTGTCCAAATATGGCAAGTTGTCACATTTTTTCGATATTTATCCACTTCAACAAAAATGGTATTGCATGAATCACCAATCAAATATCCCGTATACTTCCGGTTTTCTTTATAAAATAAATTAAGAACGCAATAATTGTTTTATTAAAATAGAATCAAAGTAAATATTTCTCTAACAAAAATAAAAACAGGTGTGCCTAAGCGAAAATTACAATTTACTTCTCATATTTTAAAATGTGACATTTGATACATTTAGCTGTTACCAAATTAAAGTAAAAAAAAAACGGATTTCGTCGTTGCAATAATTTAAGTTCAAGGCCTTGACGACATACAACTGTCAACAGTTTTTGTTTGTTTGTGATAACGATTAACTTTGTTTACTTTCTATTTTGTAATATTAAAAATTGAGTCATTTTGTTCCATTTAAATTTTAAAAATCAAGGTGGCTGTAAAGTGTCCAATTTTACTTCTTCTGACTGTACTTGAGCGATTTTGGAAAGAAGAATTTAAAAAATTCAGTGTTTCAATTAAAAATTGACGTAGTGAAAAATTTAGGCAAGAAGTATCGCGTTTTTATCGTCCCGTCGTTTCGTGAGCGAACAAATTATTCAATAATGTTTACCTAGGCTTCAGTACTCCCAAAACAAAACCAAAAAACCCTAAATTGTTCGAATTTGGCCGGATTTTAGCACAATCAAGTGGTCTAATTGTTCGCCATTGTTTTGTTTGTCAACCGCCCCCCAGTCGTGCATCTTTTGTTTGTAATTTTGGTAAATCGTTCCAATTCTTCTCTGCGATTATCGATTGGCATTCGCCGCCACCGTCGCGCTGCCACCCCCGACCCTTGTGCAGGCTGCCCTCAAAAATCAATCCCGTTTTAAAAATGCAGCGTAAAATTCCGCCGCAAATGGGACAAGGTCGGGGGCAGACACCCGCCACCCCAGAGCTGCCGTCACGTGACGCTCCCAAAAATGCCGCACGTGCAAAACCGGAAGTTACGCAATAGGCAGTAGGCCGGTGTCGCGAAAATTCTGACATTTGCGGATTTTTCCGCGGGGGAGGGAACCGGGGCTGCGGGGCCGGGGGTATCGATCGATGAGTCACTCGCGCGGAATGCACACGGGGGCGAAGCCCCGCGGCCGCCCGCTGGCCGGGGCTGCAGGATGCACCCCCGCGGGATAAAATGGAGGAGCGTCGCAGAGATAATGGCCGTTTAGGCCGGGAGGAGGCCGAATCGGGGGGAAATATACGCACCATCGTAACGTTCGGCCTGTTCTGCCAATTTCGCCTTGTAGACGTTATCCTCCCTTTCAGACATTTTGCGATGATTATCGATAGAAATTTCACAACACTAAAAAACACAGACACTCAACGTACTGCCAATATGGCCGCGCCCGCCACACTAAAAGCCGAATCCGATCGGAGCGCAATCGTGCGTCTCCGACTGACGTCACAAGCGCGCCAAATTCAAACCCAAACTGACGTTTGACACTTGAAATAAAACACTTGGATGTATTAGAAAATTTATTGAATCCTACATCGGCCAAAGCATTGATACAATATATACAACAATCTAATGTTCCTTAGTCTCAAAACCATTACACACAACAATGTAATTTTATTTACATTTCTCTGGTATCACATAATTGCGGAAAGTGTGACTTTATACAAAAACTGAGTAAATTCTCTTGTTCCACGTTCTAAAACAGGCTAAAAATACAACGAATATATACAAGAAGGATATATGATTGTTTCCAACATTGACTTGTAGCATAAAAATTAAAATACCGTACCCGGGAAAAACCTCAGCCTCGGTTTAAATAAATTACTTTAATAATCAAGCTTCATTTATTACTAGAATATGTCAGGACACCGATCCCACTCTTGCCTCTCCTTGCACACCCAATAATCTCCTTTATAAACATGAAGAGCAACCCCATTCTCATCTGTGACTTGTTCAAACCAAACCGGCTTGTATTGCTCATAGGGCCTCCCTGAAACATTTATTTCAAAAACCCAATTCACAAAACTACAAAATAAATCACCTTCTGCTGCTGCTTTCTCAGCCTCAGCTTCACGCTTCCTCCTCGTCGCCCTTTGCTTCTCCTCGAGTCTCACTTTTTCGGTATTTGCCTCATCCCAACGCCCCTCTTCCATTAGTCTTTGATCGGGTCGCAGTCTCGAATCGGTAGGAGCTACGCCCTCCTCCGGTTCATTCAATTGAGCAGCGAGAATCGTAAAACCGTAGTATTTATCAGCATCGGGGGACGGCATGCGACGCTTCCAAGCAACCACCGATGGCCCCGTCTCGTACACCGGGTTGCTAGAACTCCCCGTATTACCCGTCACGGGGGCTATCTCAATCTGGTTGTCCCACGTACCTAAAAATCAAACACAATTACAGAAAACTGTGATCAGTGTTGCCAAATCAACAATTTTCAGTTTAAAAATCCGCTTAAACTCTTAAAAAAACAAAAATGACAAGCACTTCGGCTTAATTCTGCGATTTTTCGGCTTGTTTTCAACAAAATTTTGGGAAATAATTACGTTTCTAGGTGAAAAACGTGCTAAAATGTTCGAAAAAAATGCAAAAATAATATAATTTTGTTTTAGCGAAATCTAGCGAAAAACCTGAGATTTTATAAAATGTGCTTAAAACCATTTTCGGCCAAATTTTGTGGTTTCTCAGCTTATTTTTGTCTTAATTTTACTCAAAAACCAGTTAAATCCATTGAAACAAACAAAATAACATCAATATTAATCTTTTTTTGTGATTTTTAGACGTGTTTGGACAAAATTTTGCAGAATAAATAAATCTCTGGTTTAGAAACGATGTAAGTCGAAACAAGCTAGAAAATATCAACTTCGATTTAATTTTGTAATTTTTTAGTCTGTTTCAGAGTTTCTTTCAATGCAATATCTCGAATTTTTTGTGTTTTTATCTCTCAAAAACATCCTTAAACACTCGAAAGAGACAAAAAACGTCGTTTTTGGGCTATTTTGTTAAATTTATCGCTTGTTTTTGACACAACTTTGCAAAATAATTGTGTTTCTAGTAAAAAAGCATTCGAAAAAAACAAAAATAAGTTGTCAATCTTCGACTCTGTTTAGCAATATCTTGTAAAAAAAAAACAAACAGAACCATTTTTAACCAATTTGGTAGTTTCCGATTTGTTTTCCTTCGAGAAAATTTGACAAAATAATCAAGATAAAGCCTAAGAGTTAGGTAAAAATATTTAGTGATTTTTGACACGCAAACTCTCGCGAAAAAAACAGAGTTTTCAACTTAAAAATCTTAAACTTTCGAAAAAGAAAAAAATTGTATCATTTTCGGCCTAATTCTGTTTTTTTGGCATGTTTTCAACCAATTTTGCGAAATAATTTCGTTTCTAGCTGAAAAACGTGCTAAAACATCCAAAAAATGCAAAATTAATGTAAAAATCGACTAAATATGTTGATTTTTCAGTTCGTTTTAGCAAAATCTCGTAAAAAAAATTGAGATTGTAGAACAAAAACGTGCTTAAAAGCATTCTCGACTTACTTTTATCATTTATTTCGTTCAAAAACAAGTTAAATCAAGTGAAACAAACAAAATAACATCAGTATCAATTGTTTTTGTGATTTTTAAGCGTGATTTTGAGCAAGATTTTGCAAAATAAATGAGCCTCTGGTTCAAAAACAAAGTAAGTATTTTGTAATTTTTTGCCTACTTCAACGTAATTTTCAGAATTCTCTTTTCTCAAAAACACAAAAAAAAATTGCAAAATAATTGTGTTTCTAGCTGAAAAAGTATCCGAAAAAGACAAAAATAAAGTGTCATTTTCGATTCTGTATAGTAAAATCTTGTAAAAAAAAAAACAAACAGAGCTACTTTTAAACAATTTTGGTTTTTCGACTTTTTTAAAAACATTTGACTAACCAAGTTTTTTATCATCTTCAAAAAATTTCCAGATATTAGAATTTTTACAAAAGTTTTACTAAATCATCAGACTAACATGAAAATCACCAGATGTGGTAAAATTTCACCAATCCTGGCAACACTGACTATAATAAATTGACAGTTTCCTGTAATTACCGTTAATGATCCACTTGACATTCCCCCCAATGTCCATCACCACCCCCTTAACCCTCCTCTGCGTATCCCTCGTGAAATACGAATACGGTATGTACTTCAAATGACACTTGATCCCGGCCGCAGCCCCCTTCCCAGTAATCTCCATATCACCTAAACCAAAAAAAAAAACGTATGAAAACCGAATTTTTTGCCCCCATGTCTCATCTATACCGTGCTGATCCACCCACAATTTCCCCACGATGATATTATGTACCGTTGTTGTGACTTTTCTCCACGAATATTTATTTCCATTATTGAATTCGACTTGTGCCGTCCCCAACGGTATCACCTGTAGATATTTCCCCCTAAATTTCGATGTCATCGTAAACTCCTGCCAACATTTCCACTCCCTGCCTTCGCAAAACTGTGCCACCATTGGCGGATGATGCGATACTTGTTCGTTGAACGCCCTCCAACCCAGATCGTCTGTTCTATCGCATTCGTACGTCTCCCCCAAAAGCGGATTGAACGGTTTACCAATTCGCGAACTCGTCGTCGAATAAGAGGAGATGGTGAAGGCGGCAACATAAGCCAATTGTTCACATGGATCGGTGCATTTTGCAGCTACATCGAGAGTGTCAGCATATTCGTAATCTTCGGTGAGACGTTGAAGCATTGATAAAGGTTCACTGAAATTAACAGGCATCGGAATTTTCGACAAGTCTTTTCCTATACAATTTTTCATTATGCTCCATAGATTGAGAGGATAGTGAGGCTTGTCCGGGACGCGAGTCCGCCTCTGTCTTTTACTGGTGGAAATTGTGGCGATGTGGCTCTCGCTCTGTTGGACTTTACGCGCTAAATTTGTCGATTTACCAGTGACCACCACCACCTACAAACATAAATTCGTTTTTTAATGCTGGCAGAAATGTTATTTAAAAAATATTTAAGCATTTTTTAACTATTAACGAATGTGAGAGTGAGGAAAGATGTATTTTTTATGTTCAGACAACGTCTTACTTTAATAATAAATTTTTTTAAACTATAAAGTTATGGAATAATTGACGTCCTAGAAGTGAGCTTTATTTTTTGTCACATTGGTATTTGAGGTCAAATTCTGATATTTTTCGTCTTTTTTTTTAACAAAATTTTGCGAAATATTTGCGTTTGTAGATGAAAAAAATTTTTGTCGTGTGTTATGGTAAAATCTCGTGAAAAACCTGAGATTTTAGTACAAAAATGTGCTTAAAAGCACTTGTGACCAAATTTTGTAGTTTCTCGACTTTTTTTTATATTAATAAAACCAGTTTAATCGAATGGAACAAACAAAATAACATCAATATCAATTCTTTTTGTAATTTTTGAACAAGATTTTGCAAAATAAATGATCCTCTAGTTCAAAAATGAAGTAAGCTGAGTGAAAAACAAGCTAAAAAATAAAATCAATTTCGACTAAATTTTGTATTTTTTTTTTCTTGTTTTAACTAAATTTTTATTTTTTTCTTGTTTTTATCTCAAAAAAAAACTAACACCATTTTTGGCCCATTGTTGAATTTTTGGCATGTTTTTTTTTTGGCACTTTTGAGAGATAATTGTGTTTCTAGCTGAAAAATGTATTAAAACATTCGAAAAGGTAAAAGTAAATTGTCATTTTCTTCTCTATTTAGCAAAATCTTGAGTAAAAAACACATATTTTTAACCAATTTACTAGTTTTTCGATTTTTTGTGAAAAGATTTAACAAAACATCAAGTTTCTAGTTAAACGTGGAAAATGGCAAAAAAAAACGAAAAGAGTTTCATTTAATTAAGTGCAAAGTTACAATAGTGATATCATTATTTTTGACAAAATGTCAATTGAAAAGTAAATCATTTCTAATAACTATCGTTTGAATAAAAACAGCAGAGTGTAAAGTAAGTTTGAACGTTTGAAAGTATTTTTTTTACTTTTCTCTACTCTAATAAATAATAAGCTCTCAAATTAATTTCCGATCAAAGTGACTTGTGACTTTAGAATTAAGTTGGCAACACCGAATTAAGTGTGACATTTGAATTTAATAGTTTATTTACCAACTTAATACCAAAGTCATGGGAAGCTTCGATCGAATTTATTTGAAAGTATGAAATTTACTTTCTGTAATAACTTTTAATTTAATAGATTTTTAAAATTATAGTGTCAATAATTTGTTTTTTTCACTGATAATTTAGAAAACGTTGAAATGTGTCAATTTTTAGCCTTTGTGAAAAAATACACTGCGAGATTACTACCTAAAGATTGACATTTCCGTTTAAAAAAACAGACTATTACCCATACTAAAAAACTCAAAATAATACTTTTTCTTACGATTTTGACGGTTGGTAGATCATTATTATTAATCACTGAATTAATATTTATTTTATAAAATTAAATTATCTTGTCTACATTTCTGAGTAAACATACAGAAATAAAGGATTCGTCTCGAATTTGTGTTACATTTTAGTTTATTTTCAAACGACATTGGAAAATTCTCTTCTAAAATTTACACTAATTGCAAACAAATTTGTGTCATTGAAAACATAAAAATTTTAACTAATAGCCATAAAATCGATTTAATAGAATTACAACATCACAGTCAAATAATAAGAAAATGACTCATTTTACACCAGTTTTTTGGAGGAAAAATATTTACAAAAAAAAATTATAAAACAATTGCGTGACCATTTTTTTTTACAAAATATTGATTTGACAATTAGATTAGGTCACCCACCTCAATAATAACCAAATACCATAATAAATTTATTAGCAAATTTCACCTTGAGTACTGACCTTGTCATTGCATTAAAGGAGATATTACTTAACATTTCTTTCTTTTACTACAACTCGATTTTCATCGAATTTACAACTTATTTAAAATTGTTATTTTGTGATAAAACTTAAACAATGGTCATGTAATGACACACAATTAAATAATTACTTTTACATTAGATTATTGTGACGTAAACCCGATCCCAAACATTATAACTAAATAGTAAATAACTCAAAATTGATACATGTTATTACAAAAAAAGCGACACAAAACCTTGAAGCGTATTATCACCCAATTAATAAAATAAAATTAATACAAACTTGTTTAGTTTCAGTCGTTTCATCTGGTTCACTCGAACTGTCAGAACTGTTCCTCCTATGTCCTGTCCCGGTGGGTATATCTAATGTAAAATGCCCGTCGGAAACACCCCCAGTACTATCAGCTACAGCGTCGTAAAACTCATTCTCGTCCTCCTCTTCCCCATCGCTTGGATTCACTGAAATTTTCACAAAAAAATATTAAACTGACAATTTAAAACTGTTGCCGATTAACCCATCACACTTGTTAGATTGATAAAACAACCAAAAAGTGAGGTTATGTCAAAAAACTTTCCTATCGATTAAATCACAGGAATTTTATCACAAATCGCATACTTACATCCCGATTTGTTCGTTTTTCGCATAATTGACTCGTTTTTATCACTACACGTTGAAATTTTACCAAAATTTACTCAAATGTTTCAACTGTCAAAACTGACTGATTATGGTGAAAAGAGGTTATGCTGTCAAAAATAGTGACGAGGGGCTCACCTGTGGGCCGATTCGTGTGGGCGTTAGCCGCCTGCTCCAATTTAGAATGTTGTTGAGCTAGAGTCTCCACCATTTCTTGCAGTCTTTGCCTTTGTTCTCTTTCGTGTTGCAAAAGCCTGATCCACTTATGTCCATGAGTCTGGGCTGTCTTTAAATACTCCCCACAGGCGTTAATCATCGCGTTTGTGCTGATACGGAAGAGAGTGGCCCTCTCACCGACCTCCTTTGACTTGGCTTGGACCCCATCAGGATCCAGATTAGTCTCCATCTCAGTCAGAGGCTTAACTAACGACTTCCAGTGCCTCTGAATGAGGTCACTGCACGTCTGGATGTCGTTCAGTTGAGCCTCCAACTTGCGCACAACGCTTGACCAGTCTTCGGGGCTGCCGGACCCCTCATCAGTCTCCTCTTCATCGTCTTCCGACTCCATGCTGCGTCTGAAACTTGCATAATAATAATAATGGTTTGCGGCTATTATGATCATTACATGGCTTTAGCTTTGGCAAGCTCGAGGGCTGTGACCCACGATTGACGCTCCACTTCGGAAGCGGCCCGGATGTGGAAGGTCTGTGTGCCCCCATTTGAGATGACGAAAGTGCACGCGTCCACTGTGTAAATCAGGGCTCCGTGAAGGGAAATACTCCCGCGACATGTGTGCGCCATCTCGGCTTGATTCCTGCAAAATTGACACAATTGAGGAACAATCAAGGCGGTTTTCGGGGTGTTGTGCAGGGCCTTCGTACTCACCCCTTGAACCTTCTACGTCTCCGAATTGACAGAGTGGGGACCCCTCCGTTATTCTCGGCCCTGCACAACAACACACTTATGCCTAAAGGGGCACGATTCGACCGAAAATAACAATTTAAATACCTGTAGTATGACAGATGTCCATTTTGGAGAACGAACCATCGACGTTGGTAACCTTTCAAATAGTTGGTCCATTTGAACAACCAACCTTTCATGGCAGGCTCGTTTTGCGCCAGGGTGGACTTTGTCGTCGATACGTCGCCCATTGTTCACTAGTTTGGTACCAGAATTGTTTTTTATTTGGTACTCACAATGACACGTCGTCCATCTTTTAACCCAGTGACGTAACCCTAATTACAAACAAATGGGGGGCTCCAAAACGGTAAAAATAAAACCCCATAAGGAGGTTAAAATGCAAAACACACCCCCGACCTCAATTACCACCAAAAAACACCCAATACGATTTAAATAAGCAATTTACGCATTTAAATTACTAGGGATGTGAATGATGTAAGGTTGGCAGCGCCGCCGCCATTTATAAAATTTAATTTTCAATTGTTACCGGAAAGTTAAAACAAGTTTAGCCCCCAAATTATTACATTAAAAACATTTAGTGCTAGTGAAAATGTTTCTAGTGCTTGGATTAGTGTAGATTCGTCCGTTGCAAGGTTAGTAAAGTCAGCCATTTGTAATTGTCCAGGGCCGGTCCAGGGGTTTCACATAAACAAAATTGAAACTGTTTTTCTTTATTCAAACTTAAGAGTAACCATCCACAAGACTAATTCCACATAATTTCAATGAGACGTGTGGTTACATGAGATTCATCCTAATTCAGATAAATATCTAATTTTAATATCATACACACAACTTAAAATTATCTTATTGTTACAAGAGGTGATCCTCGCGGTGAACAATACAAACGGGAGAAACATGAAACAGAAATGGCACGACCGACAAATGGAATGGTAATTTCAAATAAAATGGTTAAAAAAACGAACCGAAGGTCACCTCATTTGCGCTTAAATTAAATTTAGTCATCGTCCTCTTCAGCTGCATCATTCTCTTCGCCATCTTCGTCAGCTGAATCCTTATTCTCCTCTTTCTTGGGCCTTCCGCGGCGTCCTGTACCTTTGGGCTTGGGTTTGGCGGGCGAGTTCTTCTTTTTCGTGGAGCCCTTCGGTCTGCCACGGCCCCTCTTGACCGGCGCCGCTCCCTCATCGTTCGAGTCCCCCTCGGCGGCCTTTACCTCCTAAACAAAATCAGTTTTTTGCACTCAACCGACTCAAAACTTACTTTTCTCGCGCGCTTCTTCGAATCGACTTTGGCGTCATTCTTTTCGGCCTTTTCGGCGTTGGCTTTGCGGCCGCGTTTCGCTGGGGCTGCGTCGTCCGACATTTTTTCAAATTTGGATAAATTGCACTCTGAAATGAGAGAAATTCGCATCAGGGGGGCGCTGGAATTCGAAAGAGTGGCGACCCGCGCGCGCCATACTCAAAATAATATAATATTAAAATTCTCGGCTACACCCAAATATTTTCCAGAGCGAAGAGGCTTCGGGGCCCGCGAGGCGTACGACTGGGTCAAGGGGGCGAAAATTCGCTTCAATTTCGTACAATTTGCGCCCACTTGCGTTAATTAGTCTCAGAGAAAATAATTTTTCAAGTGTGAGAGAGATCAAGCCAAGCTTGGGTTGCAGAAATGGAAGCGGCCATGGCTGCGAATTTTCGATAAAATCCGACTCGGGAATTAATTGCTCTGATACTACGAAACGTACGCTCAAACCGAAAGCATAGTAAATTCACACGAAAAAACTATTATTTTTATATGATTTAACTGAATTTCTACAAAAATTCTATGAATTTATATTAATTTTTAAGAGAGGAAATAAAATCGACTCACCGAAACAACGCTTCAGTCAACTGTGATTTTAGCTCGAAAGCGTTCCGGTGGTGGCGCTGTATGTACGCGCCAAAACCGATCAACCAATCACAACGCGCCATTAGCAAAATAAACAAAGCACCATCCCCCTCTATTTTAACGGTTTTTCTTTTCAAATTAATTTTTTTGCCATATGACACCCTTAATTTAGTGTGGGAAATGCGATTTATGCCTGAATTAATCCCACCTTGAAACCTGGAACGCACCCTCTCGATATAAAACCGGCAAGCAACCTACCCCCACCACTCCAGACACATTGTTTACAACCGTTTATTCTTCTTTTTCTCATTTTTGGTGTGACGGGCTAATCGTGTTTTTGTTCATTCTCTCATTTTAATAAATAAAAGATGTTTTTACGAAACAGTTTTTATTTAAATGTTACAAGTTTAAATTACTCATTTTCCTGGCTGCGCAGCCTGGCGTGACCATTTGTAACCCTAATTGACAACTGTTGGGCCCTTTCTACAATCTCTTTGCGCTTCTTTGACGACACTCCGTGAGCAATCTCGGCGCAATACTTGCGGTTTTGCATCAACAACACTTCCAATTCCTGTAACAAAACTCCAGTCATTTCATGTCACCCCAAAGGCTGTTTTCTGTAATTCCTAGTGGAACACTCAGTGATGATTATCGACATGATATTTCAGTCGCAAATTACCAAAAAACATCATTGTTTACTACAAAAACACACTGTCTTCGTGAATTTACAAACCTTGACGTTGTGTACTAAAACTTTGCGGAATCCTGTGGGTAGCATATGCTTTGTTTTGGCATTAGAGCCGTACCCAATGTTGGGCATCAGAAATTGACCCTTGAAGCGCCTACGAACCCTGTTGTCGATACCTTTGGGTTTGCGCCAGTTGCGCTGAAATTTGAGGTTAGGTCACTCCCGAGTCACTTGTTTGTTGTCTTTACTTACTTTGAGTTTGCCATAACGGTCAGATTGATGTCTGATGAACTTTTTCGTTCGTTTTTTAACAATTTCAGGCCTGTAAACGGGACGAATCGCCATTTTTGCCCTAGAACAAAATGAACACTTAGGAAAGAAATTGGGGGAAATGATCACTTAAATTGTATTTATTGACATATGGGGGGCGGTTTTGGGGGCTATTTTCGTGAAAATACTTACGGATTGGTCAGAAATTAAAAGATTGAAAACGTGCCGTATTTTCTGACACGTTCGCGAAATGTCACTTGACGGAAAGACTTGTACCAACTGTGCACGAGAAAAGTTACCAAATCGAGAAAAAATCCCCAGTTATTTCAAATTATTTATTAATTTAATTAATGGATAAATTAATCACTTTCTTCCTCATCACTAAAATAAGCACTTTTCTTAATTAATTTTCTTGGTGGTTCAAGGGCCGCTTCATCGTCATAATTGCCGGTGGCAACTTTATATCTGTAATCCTCAAGTTCATGTCTTTCTTGTTCTGAGGCAATAGCCGCACTTAACGTTTCATCGTCGTCTCTGTTTGGTTCATTTTCTGATTCTGAATCATTAAAATATTCCTTTTGTTCCTAAAAACAAAACATAAATCAATAAAAAAAAATTTTTCATTGTACCTCTGTAAGTTCTGATGACATTTTCTTTTTACGTTTCCTGACTTTTTTAGGGGGCGGGTCCCTCTCTCCTAGAATATTTTTGGAGCATTTATAACTCAAATGCCCAACTTCGCCACATTCAAAACATTTACTTTTATCAGGGTAGTCTTTACGTCTGATGAATTCCGTAGTCCGTCCATTGTCTTTTGCTATACTTGCCTTAACTGTTCGCCCAAACATCTAGCAATAAAATTAAATCAAAGCAACAATTTTTTACCTTTTTCACCTTTTTTATACCTCTTTCAAATTTGTTTCTTCGACGCATTTTAAGGCGTCTTCAGTCTTCAGAAATAAGATAAACGCAACTCCTTTACTTTTACGTGTGTTTTTGTCTTTTAAAACTGTGACTCTGAGGGGGAAAATAATAAACAAACCGACTTAACCTCACTTTTTACTCACTTGACAATTTTACCGTATTTCTCGAATAATTTATGCAAGTCGTTGTTTTTTAGCTCGTAGGGTATATTTGAGACGTATACTGTACTTTTACTAGGGACTAGACCGCCGCTCATTATTTATTTTTAATATTTTTACAAAAATTAAAGTTCCGAGATTGATCGGCAATAAACGGTTTGATTCGAATAAGGCGCCAGATTTAAATAAAAAATCTTTGTATATTATTTACTTAAATACAAGTCAGGTTTCCATATCTTCCTTATCATTATCTTTATCTCCGTCGTAAAATTCGTTTTTAGCCTCGACCGTCTTATCTTCTAAATCTTGACTAATCCTAACATCGGGGTCTTCCTCTTCTTTGATTTTATCATCTTCTGGAATTGCGTCTCCTGGGACGTCGTGCATTTGCACACTTGGCGAGTGTTGACACATTTTCAAGTTATCGCACACAAATCTATAAAAAAAAAGATAATGAAAGTCGTTTAAAATTTGCAAAATTACTTAGTTATGGCCTCCAAATACTGGCGACTGTTTGCATTTTCCTGTCTTGTGACGACTTCAGGATGTAGAGTAAAATCGGGTGCAAAAAATTCTAAATATTCCGTGTACGGTAATTCGTTTGAGATTTGTTCATCAACCAGTAATGAGGTCTCATAAGTCCAACATCTGGCGACGTTTCTGAGGGTATAACCGCCCCCTCCGACGACCAAAGTCGGTACATTTAAACTCTTGACAAACTTGACACACTCCCCATGACCTTTGGTGCTCAAGGAGAAGCACCCCAAGCGGTCATTGGCCAAAGAATCGGCCCCACATTGCAACACAATGGCTGTTGGTTGGAAAAACTCCATTACGCTTGAAATAACCGGCTTAAAAACCATCCAGTAGCTCGAATCGTCGATTCCTTCCTTCAGGGGGACATTGACGGAGTAATACCGACCACTTTCGGCCCCAATTTCGTACATATCACCCGTTCCAGGGAAAAAATAATTGCCGTATTTGTGAAAACTAACAGTCATGACTCGATCAGTGAGATAAAAAGCTTCCTGGACGCCGTCTCCGTGATGGACGTCAATGTCAATGTATAAAACTCTTGCGTGATATTTGAGCAATTCTAAAATTCCAATCACAATGTCGTTTACGTAGCAGAAACCACTGGCCTCGAATTTTTTCGCATGGTGCAGCCCCCCTGACCAATTAACAGCAATGTCACAGTGATTATTATTCAGTTTCATGGCCCCTTCGAGCGACGCCCCTGTGTACATCGAACAGAAGTCAAACAGCCCCCAGAAAACGGGACAATCATCCCCTACATTATAGTGACTCAAATGCTTCGTGAAGGCTTGAATATTTTGAGGCGTGACCTTTTGCAAAAAATCTGCAATTTGTTAATGAGGGAAATAAATCAAAATTTGGGTTTTTTACCGATATATTCGTCAGAGTGGAAGCGACACATGTCGTGAGCACTCGCCTTGTAAGGCCGGTAAATCTGCATGTGCTTGTGCAAGCCGTAATTTAACACTAAACTGTGAATTACAGAGAGTCGGTGGGGCTTCATGGGGTGCCCTGTACCGTAATGGAAGTTCCCCACATCAGGGTTGAAAAAATAAGACACTCGGTGCTTCGACATCACATAGACAGCTCCTTCCACACGTACAAAAAATACAAGAACAAAACTACAATAATAAGGCGTTTAGTGAGCCAAAATCTATCCTCTGGCATGCTTTCGGGTAGCCCCCATTATAATTTTTGGAAAAAACAGGCCCCCAAACAAATATGACGTTTCATGCGCTTTACCACCAACTCAACCACACCAAAATCACCAAACAGAAAAGTTTTGTGAACCATGTGCCCCATTTTGTCTCACCACAAACATAAAAATTATCACTGTTTAGCACTTTTACAATAATCGAGGCTAATAATTTAAATGATTTCTTTTTTTATTTATTTAAATCAATTGAACATCACTTCACTTCACTACCAACCTCCAAAAGAAAGTCCCCAAATTCGAAAAATGGGCATCAAAGATCTGTGGACAATTTTAGCTCCTTTTGGGGAGCGTAAGCCCCTTTACGAACTTCAAGGCAAGACTGTTGCAGTTGATTTATCGTGTTGGGTGTGTGAGTCGCAAAATGTGGCCGAATACGCGGTCCAACCCCGGATGTATTTGAGGTTAGGTAACTGTTAACCGGCACAAGATTTAAATTTTTTTCTAGGAATTTATACTTCCGGGCTTGTTATTTGTTACTAATGGACGTAAATGTAGTTTTTGTGCTTGAAGGCCACGCCCCTGAGCTCAAATACAAGACAATAGCCGCTCGCAATGCCTTGCAATTCAAAGGGGCCAAACCCAAAACTGAGGTCAAGACCAAAGACAGGTCGAGGTTTAATTTCACGTTGAAACGGTGCGAGGAGATGTTGAATTTGTTGGGGATTGCGTGTGTGAAAGGAGAGGGCGAAGCGGAGGCCTTGTGTGCACATTTGAATGAAGCTGGGGTATTACTATTTTTTGTTAAATTACAACTCAGAGTTGTTTTAGCTCATTGACGGGATAATTAGCCAAGATTCGGACTGTTTTGCATATGGGGCACGTGTCGTTTACCGCAATTTTTCCATCTCGCAACAAGGTAATCAGGCTGCTAAAGGGGGCTCTGTTGACGTCTATGACATAAGTGTGGCAAATGAAAGGCTGAGTGAGTCCCCAAATTACTGGCAATTGACTCGAATTTGAGCAGATTTCGGCAGGAACAAAATTATTGCCTTGGCGCTACTTTGTGGAAGTGATTATTGTGATGGAGTCCACGGAATTGGCAAAGACTCGGTTATGAAATTGTTTAATTCGGTGAATGATGACGAGATTTTGCCACGGTTGAGGTCGTGGCGCCAAAACCCGATTTATGAAGAGTTAGAGGCGAAAATTTCCGATAAAAATCGGTGTACGTCTTGTGGGCATTTTGGCAAACTCCAAGCGCATGTAAAAAAGGGTATTTGAATAAAAATCGAGTCAAAACAATTAAATAATTTATTTTTTTCAAGGCTGTATTGTGTGCAAGACAAATCAAGGTTGCGATTCTGGTTTTAAAAATGAAAGACTTGAAATCAAAAATGAGTTAAATATGAGGAGCAAAGCCTTGATTGATCCCAATTTCCCAGATGAGAATTTAATTAATGAGTTTCTGAGTGAGAAAAGCAAAATTTCTAAACTAAACTTGAAGTGGCGTAGGCCAGATTTGGTCAACTTCATTGTGAGTTGGTTAAAATCACAAAAAAATCAAAATAATTTTTTGAAAGAAATTTACAGTCAAATACCTGACTTGGGAGGAGATTTACAGTTTTGAAAAATTTTTCCCCATTTTGACCAGGTGGCAGTTGTTACATTTTGACGAAATCAGTGACAAGACAGGAGGAGTTGTTTCACCAAAATTTATCAAAAAACGAAGGACCCTCAAAGGTGCAAAAATCACTAGAAAAACAAATAAATACGACTCTTTTTGCAGGAATCCTCAGTTACGAAATAGTCTGGGAAGATAAATTAAATCACTTTAGTGACTTGATCCCTGAGGAACAGTTGGAACAATTCGGGGATTTGGAAAAGTTGTGGTCTACTGTGGAGCCCCAAAATCTAGTAGAAAAAGCCTTCCCGTACTTGGTGCGTGAATTTGAAGTGAAGAAACCTAAATCAAGGAAAAAGAAGAAATCTGCAATTGATGAAATTGATGACTTGTTGCAAAACATTTCAATCACGACACAATCACCAGTGAAGAAGAAAACGAAAAATAATCACATCCACACGTTAGATGCCTTCTTGTGCAAGGCTTCAACTCCGAAAAAGGTGGCCCCAGATGTGTCTTTTGACCTCAACCAGTCGAATTTTGGCGATGAGGATGACTTACAAGTGTCTGAAATCGTAGACGACATAATTAGAAGGGATTTGCCCACTTATGTGCCACAAAATTTGGAAAAACTTGGACTGAAGTTGAATGAAAATGTTGATTGTAGCTTTTTTGTGAGTGAGATGATTGAAAACGATTTATTTGAAAAGACGTTCAAGGATTATTTTAATAGCGATACTGACTCAAATACTGTTGATTAATAAACATTTTCTAGACAGCAGTGTTGTTGATTTGGGTGTAATTGGGATTGTCTGAACTGTTTAAAGATTCCCATTCATGTTCATTTGAATCAAATTCGTACAACACCATAAGACTGTGTCGCAAACGGTCTAGTCGTCGTTTCCTTCGGGCCATTAAATAGACCTGGAAAATGCAAATGATTTGGGGTCGTTTAAGAGGGCTATAAATTACAAGGGCCGACAGTAAAAGAATGAGAAACACCACTACCAAAGGAACGATAAGGAATTTGTAATCACGATGCGGGGCCACGTCTGGTGCTCCCGTCGATGTCGTCGTAGTATAATTTCCGAAAGAATCCATTGAAACCGGTCATTTTTTCGTATTTTGCAAATTTTTGTCTCTTGTTTGAGGTTATGTGTCAAAAATTTAGGGATTTTAGTGCATGGAAAATGTCAATTGAAGCGCTCCCTAGTGGCCAAATGCAAAGTAATCTTTCGTTATTGAGGGTGTTGTCAATTTTCATTATAAAATGTAAGTTTTTGACGAAATTTAGCGTTAATTTAGTGTAATTACGTAATCTGGAAATTGTCGTAACAAAACTGATTAGTTTCATGTGGTTTTTTGCTTGAAAGTCGAGTCTTTTCTGACGAAATTGTCGTGTGCGTTTTATTGAAATTTCTCGAAAATAAAATCGAATTTAATAAAGTGTTGCGGTAATTGAGACGGGAATCTCGCCCCAAAGTAAGTCAATCGATTGATTTAATAGAATCAGTTTTCATGGTCAAGAAAAAAGTCTAGAAAATATTTGACATATGTCTCCATAGGCGTACCAATTTTGTTTTCCTGTGGGGGTATGAAAAACTCTTTTCCGTTGTAGATTTTACCAAGACTGACTCCGACTCTAGTTTTATTGTGTTCCGCGTTTGATGGACTTTCGGCGAGTTTCTCCCCAATCGAGTGATTACATTGGTCAGACTGGAATTTGAGGATTACAAACGTTACCAACCGAATTTTTTACGAAATGACCCTCGTGCAAGTTCAGCCAACACACGATCGTTAAGGGCGACTCGCTGTCAGGCTTGCCATCCCGACAAAAATAGAAAAACGGGGCAATCTTGCCCGAAATTCGAGCAGGATCAGTGAGTCACAATCGCACGTTTGGGGGCTTGATTTAACTTATTTTTCAGAACTACTAGTCCGACCATTCCACGTAAAGGCAGCGAGGCAAGCACGACCAGCAAAAGCAGCACGAAAAGCTTCCATGGTTGGACGAAATCGTTGACTCGGCACGCGAAACCTCCCGGTCACAAACGAACACTATCCTCCGCATCGACGAAATCATGCGATGCGGGGGAGGAGGCTGCGCAAGCGGCGGCCCCGACTTGCGGACCCTCCTCCCCTGCCACAGGCCGAAATCAGTCTTGCCAAAACACGCCCGATTTAGGGAAATTTGATAGCTTAGAATACATTGATCAAACTTCCACGTCTCCTGATATTATCGCGAATAATAAGGGTTATCATACGGTCGAGGATGACCGCAAAAAGAGTAAGGCGAAAGTTAAAGCAAAACCAGTTGGCGGGAAGAAGAAGAGCAAGAAGGAGAAGGCGAAAAGTTCGTCTTTAAATAGCGAAGATGAGAAAAAAGAGATTATTACAAATGTTAGAACGATTAGTACGGATGTGGTCCATACCACGGTTGTTACTACTACCACTAGTTTAAATAGGTACACGTTTACGAAGATTGATGATAGCGGATTTAATGCGGAAAAGAAGGAAAGGACCCACAGTTGTTCCTCCATACCCTATGATAACATCATTGAGAATTTGGCGCCGTTTAGGAAGAGATTTTGTAATATACAACTCTTCAACGATGACGAAGATTTACACAACTTTGAAAAACACAAAGGTAAACAAATAAAGTATTTTTTCAGTAATTGTAATTGAGTAATTGAATTTTTGATAAAACTATCTCAGGTTAATGAGAAAAGATTGATAAGATTGGAATTTTTGATGATTGTAAATTTTCCTTTTCTCGAAATGTCGTTTCGTAAAAAAATACAAATTATGAAAATCTAGGGAATTTCGAGAATTTTATTCAAGTTGGTACTTCACGTACCCAATAAAAATCTCAGTTTTAAGTCACGTGATTTATAAAATGTCTTCCTCAATCACTAAATGACCAAAAGAGTTTAAACCAATCGAATTTTTTTGTAATTTAATATGTTCATGCCTCATTTGATTCATTTTTTCGTGTATTTTTTTTAAGGTTTTTCAGATTAATTAGACAAAGCGAAATAATTGATAAGATCGGAATTTTTGATGATAGTAAATTTTCTTTCACTCGTAAAATTTAAAATATACAAAGTGAACAAAATGTATGGGAGCAAGCGCGTTTTTTAAATCATTTGCTTTCAAAAATAATAATTAATAAATATTAAAGTGCTATAAAAAATGTGATCGTATTTTGAGGAGGAAATTTTATTTTGTTTTTGAGTTGTGCGATTTTTTTTATGGTAGATAATATAATTTTTTTTTTCGATAAAAATTTAATAAAATGTAAATGGTTGATGGACCATCTAACCTCCTTGGTTGTAATCCCTAGATCATAGCCTTTGTAAAAACGGTTTTATAGTGGATTATTGTCATTTTAAAAGACAAAAAAATTTTGCAAAACTCAAAAATTTTTGTTTATCGATTTCATAGTAGGTACCTAGTCATTTATTAATAAATTTTTCAAAAAATAAATAGTTTAAGCAAATAACATTTGGTTTCTTTGTTCACCTGGTACATACAAATTATAACGATCTAGGGGATTTTGAGCTTTGTTCAAATTGGTTCTTCAGATGACCAATAAAAATCTTAATTTAACGTGATTAGTAAAATGCTACTAAATAACCAAAATACATGTTTGAAAATAGAATTCATTAATAATTCAATATGTTGTCAGTTCATTTTCGAGCGTAATTTTTTTTTATTTGTAATAAAATATTTTTAGTCTAGCAAATTAGTAAATATACAAAAATGTCGAAGTTTCTGGGAATATTAACATTTTTTCATCGTTTGTCCAGACTAAAAAAGTATAAACATACATAATTGTATTTTTGCATCTTTACCTACTTCGAGTTTGTAATGTGATTGAAAAGTTTCTATAAAAAAGTGGAAAACACAATTTTTTATTCAATTAACATCGTCACAGCTTGATTACGAGGGAAAGAATAAATTTTCGTTTCATTATTGTGTAAAATTTGAAATTTTTCACATCAGGTTGGCTGTGAAATTAAATTTGCGGTCAATTTTGATGTTTCTTTGAAAAGAAATTAAAGGATTAGTTATTTCATTTAATCCAGTGAATTTTAATTTTTTATCTTGGCACTTCTGTATACTTCAATTTTTTTGGTTAAGTTGTGAAAAAAGTGGTTTTAAAACAAGTAATTCGATTCAATTCAATTAATGCAAGTTTGTAGTAACTAATTTTGGTGATTTGAATTTTTTGTTTATTTTTTAGTTTCTGGAGATTTGATCTGATATCTCCGATTTTATCAAAAAAATAATTAAAATGAGTTTTTTGTAAAATTCAAATTGCTGATTTAATTACATAATTTAATTGAGGAACAATTGACGCAAATTTGATTTAATAGACATTATTTTTTCGTTAAAAATGTCACAAGGGTGAGTTTTCTTTAATTTTTTTTAAAGATTTAAGAGACAAACAAGAAAATACAGGATGTTGTAGAAAATCATGTGATTGTGTTTTAAAAACTCAAATTATTAAGTTGGTAAACATGATTCCCAGTCGTGTGTCGTTTTTGACAGATTTAACGAAAACAAAAATTTATTTGATTAAAACAAATACGGACTCACTGGTTTTATTTTTTGATTATTTCAAGAGAACATCTAACAATAGTTCGAAGTCGAGCACTTTCTATCAGATTGTAATTACTTATCTGATAAACAATTTTCTTAGTATCGATGAAATGAAACAATGTTTTCGTGTTGTTCGCAGACATGCCAGTACGCATCAGTAGCGATTTTCGTTCTGATATTGAAAAAGTGATCGACGGCATCATCGGAATGGCCTTCCAAATAATTCAAAAGAACGGCCTCGAAATTGAAAAAAGCACCAGAAAGAAACTATCAACCGATCTCACTTACTCCAATCGTCTTCGTTGCATCACCAGCGACATCCTCACACCGAAAATAATAACACACACACCATCAACTGATAATTTATTAGACGCTCGTAATTTCGTTGAAGAATACGAAGAGTATCACGATTCGTGTGCGGAAATTCCCGATTCGGCATTAGCCGTCGGTCAGGTTATAACCGAACTGTCGGATAACGTCGATAGGGTGATAAACGACAAGTGGAAAAACAAGAGATCAGTTAAACATGGCGGTGTAACTTGTTTGATTCCCGTCGAAACGGATTCGAATGCAGAAGATGAACCGGAAGCGCAGAATGATAAAAGGTTATTGGAGGTGGGGGCGAGGTACAACATACCGAAGAATTTGTTTATCAACACTGAAATGAAGGAAATTACTGAACAGACCATCGATGAGTTGCATAGAAATGACGAAAATGCGGAAAATAGTGCCGATATTGAAAAACCATTAGTTGTTGATTTGAATAGACCTAAAGAGGATGACGATGATGTCTATAGACCAATCGCGGTTAGTCCCGATGGGAGGTTCTTCAAGTACGAGGAGGAGATCGGGAGAGGGTCATTTAAGACGGTTTATCGTGGACTCGACACGGAAACAGGTCGGTAATACAGTTTTCTATTTTTATTAATATTTAAAATTGAAATTTTTAAGGTGTGGCGGTTGCTTGGTGCGAACTTCAAGAGAAAAAACTGAACAAGGCTGAACGACAACGTTTCCGTGAGGAAGCTGAAATGTTGAAAAAACTCCAACATCCGAATATCGTTCGTTTTTACAACTATTGGGAGTCGACCGGTACGAAAAAAAAGAACATTGTTCTAGTCACCGAACTCATGTTAAGTGGAACACTCAAAACTTATCTGAGACGTTTCAAAAAAATCAATCCGAAAGTATTAAAGTCATGGTGTCGACAAATTCTAAAAGGTTTAGCATTTCTCCATTCGAGGTCGCCACCGATCATACATCGTGACTTGAAATGTGATAATATTTTCATCACAGGAACGACAGGTTTAGTAAAAATTGGCGATCTAGGTTTGGCGACATTAAAAAATCGAAGTTTTGCCAAATCAGTAAGTTATTTGGTGTTTTTACAGAAAATTTGTTTTAATTGTGAGTTTCAGGTGATTGGTACGCCTGAATTTATGGCACCGGAAATGTATGAGGAGCACTACGATGAAGGTGTGGACGTTTATGCGTTTGGTATGTGTATGTTAGAGATGGCAACCAGCGAGTATCCCTATTCGGAATGCACAGGACCGGCTCAGATTTACAAAAAAGTTATTTCTGTAAGTTTTAAGTCTCAGGGATTTTGTGGTTGTAAAAACACTTGTATAGGGCGTCAAACCGGCAAGTTTTGAAAAAGTTCAAAATCCTGAAGTCAAAGACGTCATTGAAAGTTGCATAAGACCGCGAAAAGAAGACCGACCAAAAGTTAAAGATCTTCTAACTCATGCTTTCTTCGAAGAAGATTTTGGTTTGAAAGTTGAAGTTGTGTCTCAGGAAAACAACAAAGTCGTATTTAGATTACGCGTAATTGATCCGAAGAAACGCACTCACAAACATAAAGAAAACGAAGCGATTCAATTCGAATTTGACATGGAAACAGATCGGATAGATACAATTTCCGAGGAGATGGTCAGTATTGATTGACAGTTTTGTGACAGTTTGACAGTTTTATTTTTTTGACAGGCCAAATCGGGAATCATCTTCGAAGAGGACGCCAAAACCGTGGCTCAACTGCTGAAGGCGCAAATCGCCCAAATTACCAAAGAACGCGAACAGAGAAACAAAGAAAAAGAAGCTCTGGCACAACAAATACAATATCAACAATATTTGCAACAACAAACTCCTGCAAATGTTGTCGTACAGCAACAACAACAGCAAGATTACAACCAGCAGCCGAATTTAGAGCAACAATATCAACAACAACAGCAACAAACGGAGCAGGTGCAGTATGTGCAACAGAAAAGCGAACCAGGGATTGTACAATACACTATGCAACCTGAAACGGTACAACAACAGCAACAACAAATTTATCAACAGGAACAACATCAAAATCCTCCAATACTACAACGCCAACAATCAATGGAACCAGTGCAGCAACAACCGATAATTCATAAACAACAACCACCGCAACAGTTTGTTCAACAAAATTTCGTTGTTGAAGGTCATCCCCAACAGGCTGAGTTTTTGCAAGTGCAACAGAATGATAGTCAACAGCATAAAATGTCGAGTATTTCGCAACCGGAACTATTGCATGCGATGCCGGCCCAAAATGAGCACAGATTGAGTGTTGATAGTCAATTGGATACATTACAGGAACAAAATTATCAACAACAGCAGAATTATCAAGGGAGTTATCAACAGCAGCAGCCAGCTCAGAATTATCAACAACAACAACCGGCTCAAAATTATCAGCAGCAGCAACAACCACCTCAGAATTATCAACAAACGCAACCTCAACAACCACCATCGCAGAATTATCAACCATCACAACAGCAACAACAACCGCCTCAGAATTATCAACAGACCCAACCTCAACAACAACCGACACAAACTTATCAGCAACCACAACAGCAAATACCGACGCAGAATTATCAACAGCCGCAGCAACCACCGGCCCAGAATTATCAACAGCCACAACAACCACCGACGCAAAATTATCAACAACCACAAGCACAAAATTATCAACAACCTCCTTATCAACCCCCTCAACAGCAGCAACAACCTGCTCAGAGTTATCCTCAACAACCCACTCAGAGTTTCCCGCAACAGCAATCTCAACAACCCGCTCAGAGTTATCCCCAACAACAACAACAGCCTCAACAACCACCGCCTCAGAATTACCCTCAACCGCCTTCGCAGAATTATCAACAGCCTCAACAACAACAACAACCACCGGCCCCTAATTATCAACAACAACCGCCACCACCTGCGCAAAATTTTCAACAACCGGCGTCGCAGAATTACCAACAACCTTACCAAACTCAACAGAGTTACACCGAACCCGTTATACAAAGAGTATCAACAGTGGCGCCACCCAATATTCAACAACAACAAGAATACAATCAAGCTCAACAAACTAATATTATTGTTCAGCAACAACCACAACAAAATTACACTCAAGCGCCGACCACGTTTCAACAACAACCACAACAACAACCGGTTTATCAACAGCAGCAGAGTTACGTTCAACCTCAAGTAGAACAGGCTTTTTCAGAACAACAACAAGCTCCGATTCAACAATTTGTTCAACAACAATCGGTCGATCAGTTGTATCAACAGCAACAACAGTTTCAACAAGTGAGTTTAATCTAATTTTAATGTCGGTAATACAGATAACTTGATTCCATTTCAGGTTATTCCACAACAAATCGAGCAACAACCCCCGGACCAACACTCTGGAGGGCATCGCCTCTCGGGGGAAGTCCCACCTCCTATGAATTTAGTCGAATTACAGCAAAAACTCGCCCAACAACATCGCGTTTCAACAGCCTCTCTTCCTCCAATGTCGACTTTTGACACTCAACCGCTTGACACTCGTCGATTGTCGACTGTTTCGCAGCCACCATCAATGCAAGAGTACATTCAACAACAGCAAATTGTCGAAAAGGAATCAATTGAGGAGTTACAACCTAATAAAGAGGAAAGTAAAGAGGACATTTCCACTTCGGAACAAGTAAGTGAAGAAACATCGACTGAAGACAAACCAAAAACACGAAAACAAAGATCATTGAGTACAAGACAACAATTGATTGTTCAAAACGTTCATCCTGATGGAACGGTTGAATGTCAGCTGCTTTGCAAACAGAAAACGATTAGTTTTAAGTTTAATAGGTTTGATACAACACCGACCGATATAGTGGAGGGAATGATCAAGCAGGAGTTATTGAAACCAGGACCGTATAAGCATTTACACGAACATTTGAAAGATGTGATGGAACAGTTGAAGAATAATCCTGATAAGGTGCCGGAGAGTCCGAAGCCGTACGTGCAGAAGGTAAACGACTGCCGATAATACAGGCTTCTACCGCGAAAAACTGGATACATTTTCTTTTTCAAATTACATTTTTAAAAATGAACACAATTAGCTTCAATATTCATGATTTTTTCGGCAAGTTCAAGTCAGAAAACCACAAGTCGTTATTACAGTTTTCTATTTTAAAATTTTAACAATAGTTTTACATTTCGATTTTTAAGTTAAATTTTCAAAACTATTAACAAAATTGGTTATAATTTTATTTGTCGCCACAAAATTTATGGTTTTTGGGCAAGTTTAGGCCAGAAAATCACTAATCGATATTACAGTTTCCTATTTTAAAATGTTAGCAATTAATTTTCTTGTTTTCCCACGTTAATCTAACTTTTCTTTGCACGCTGCTTACGCATAGGTCAGACACGCATCTCTTACGAGATATCCGCATAAAAAAACACACAGACGACACAGATCTGTAAGTACTTGTTCTTATTCGATTCTTTATTTTTCTTTTATTTCTTGTTTCTGTTTGCAAAGTAGTTTGGTTACAAATTTTCTTTTGACGAATAAACGTATTTATTATTTGTTGTTTTTTTTGACAGCGTGACGACAGTAGTGGCCAGATGTTGATAAAACCCGGCTTCGAGACATACGAAGACACTTTCCAAGGTTTAAAATCGACACTTTCGGAAAAACTCACTCAGAATTTGCGTTGTCGTGAAAGTCTCAATAGTAGCGGAACTGTTTCACGAAAGACAAGCACGGCGAGCGATTACACTCCTGAAAATACGTACGTTTCGAATAATCGAAGCGACCAATCGACAACAGTGTCGTTTTCGAGCGACACCTGTGTGTCGGTTTTAAAACAACCGGAAGTGGTCGAAGACGTCAAAAGCGAAATTGATGGCTCTCAAGATGTCCTAAAGGACGAACTAAACGATAGTTTGAAGCGAAAAGACGACGTGAAACTTGTTCCTGGTCAAAAAGTAGACTTAAAAGTGTTTATTTTACGCACCGAAAACGAATCACGTGACCAAAACGATGAACCCGAGGAAAAACCGAAGGAAGAAATTGAGAAAAATGAAGAAAAGGTCGAAACGACGGTTTTAAAAGTGCCACAAAGGAAAATCTCGAGGTTTTTGGTGAGTCCGGTCCTGTCTGGTGAATTAGATTTGCCGAAAGATAAGGATTTCGGTCCGGAAACAACCGAAGAAGAAGTTCCGACTCAAACAAAATCTGAAAATTTACGAAAAAGTTCGGCCCCTGTTGAATCCTCGACGAAAACTCTCGATGTTGATAAATCGAGCGAACAGAAAGTTAGTGTATGTTCTCTGAAAGAGGAATCGACTTGTGGAAAAGAAGAACCGGTCATGTGTGGTCCTGAAATGATAAACACCCTCGAACAATTGAAAATCAGTCTTGATAATCTCAAAAATAGCATGCATCCGAAAAAAGACTCGTCCGAAACTGATCCGAAAAAAATCGTAGTGACAACTACCACCAATCAACAGTTTGTGACTGCAGCGCCGCCGGTACAACAGCAACCTGTACAATTCCCTCCTCAACAGCAGAATCTCATCTTGCAACAGCCGACGAATTATCAACAACCGGTCTCACAAGCATCACCCCCACAAATGGTGTTGAATTTACCAAAACCTGTTGAAATACCCGCCACTAATGTGATTTATCAAGCGCCACAGACGTCGATAATGTCGGGATCTGTATCCGTACAGAATTTATCGATGCAACCGCAACAACAATTCCAACATTCGGTTTCGGTTGATGATAATGCGTTGAATTTGCATCAACAGGGCGGTATGGGAGTGAAAAAACTCCCCTTGGAGAATTTAAAACAGATAACTGAGAGGTAAAGTTAGCCAAGACTCGAACCTCGAATGTAATTTCTGATTTTAGTGCGTCCGGACGTGGTAGTCAAGCCTCGACACCTCAATTGGACGTCAAATACGACGCTCAATTGCAAAATCTACAACAGCAACTGTCCTCGATTCCGTTAGCCCGGACTCAAACCACGGTAACATTTGTTATTGTGATTGAATAATAAATAACGGTTTGATTTAGGCGCCATCTAGTCCGCAAGCTAACCCAGCTAATTTGGAATTTCCTCAAGAATCTCTTATCACTAACGCTATCAATAAAGTAACAATTGATACTCGTTTTTTTCCGCTTTTTGATTATTTTTTGGTAGTTGCAAATCGAGTCCGCTCCTGGCAGTGGTGCCACCTCTTCGGAAGTTTTATCACCAGTCTTGGAAGTTGATGTCGAATTTAAAGCCAAGCAGTTGGCAGAATTGAATAACCAACTTAAGAAAATTAATCGACCGGAAGTCATAGTGGAAGCGGGCGAGTCGCTGCTGTCACCGGAAATTGCCGAATCGAAAGAACGGAAAGTGTCAAGGTTCAAAGTCAGTGTGGTTACAGAACCTGACCGAAATAAACTAGTGGTAGAGCAAGACAAAAAGGATGAAGAAACGAAAAAAGATTCAGATTATACGAGCGTCATCAATAATACTTTTGACAGTTTAGCGAATATTTTAGTAGGGACTTTACCGCCAAATTCGACAGGTTGGTAGCATGAAATTTGGGATTTTTAATTTTCACTGATTTGTTACAGAATTCGCACCGGAAGTGAATCAAGTAAAAGTGAGTTTTTTGTGTTTTTTTTTGTCCCTTTTTACTAATTCAGTGTTGTGCAATTTGATTTTGTTTTAACTTTAATTTCGCCGCCCGTGTCATTGATTTTCTTTTCGAGTAGCTAGTGATTTTTTTCATTGTAGCATGCAGTTGGCACCACTGTACACCATTCTAATATTAAATCACCAAAATCATTATCATATACCGATTTAAAAAAGGAAATTGAACATATCTTGCCGATAAGGAGGACTTCTGGCGAAGGCAACCCCAGGAGGTTATCGGGGGGCCGTCGCATGTCGAAAACCTTCCGTCAATACCCACAAATCGTCATTCACCCCCCTGACGAGTCACTCACCTCTAGTTTACCAGATATCAATGCCTGTATTGACGAACCACAAATTGTTATCAATAACGTTAGTGATAAGAATGTCAGTTGTCCCGATTTGACAGATCAACAATTGTACGATGACAGTTTATTCACTACCAATCTAAGAAAACGAAAATCACCAAGAAAACGAAAGTTTGCGAAAAAGAAACGCAAACGAAAAGGGGAGTCACCGACGGATTTGTTGAAAAAAAACTGGAAATTTAAACATTCCGCATCGATGCATAATTTAAAAAGTCACATGATGCAAATGACTGACGATTTTGATAATTATCATACGGTTCATGGCGGGTTTAGTAATTTAGATATGTACGCGTTTGATAATTACAGTCGTACCAACAGTACGGAGGTCGTTTACAAATGTTGTTGCGGGAGGAGACTGTGCGAAGCAGTGGTGCCAATCCAACAATATTTGGAAACTTATTTCGTCACCAAGAGGGTAAGATATAACAGGTGGAGATAGGTGCAGGGCGCTTGGTTTTAGTGGTTGGCATGCCTGGCTTTTTATGTAGTTACTAACTTACGATAGAGTAGCACGCTTTTTATCATATTTTTTGATTTATTCCATGTTAATTGTGTTTTTTTCTGGTTAGAAAGAGACTTTTGAAGAAATGTTGAATAGACAAAAGGCTGAATTGAATGCTTTAATGGAAGCTCATCGTAAGCAGCAGTTGGAGTTTATGGGTAATTATGAGATCGGTATTGAAGTTGGTGATTTTTAATGGTTTTTTTTGTTATGTTGTTGCAGAGTTTCATAGGAGACAAATTGAAGGTAATTGGGAGTGCTAAAAGTGGCTCATTTTATCCATTTTTGTTGCAGAAAATAAGAAAATGTGAGATCGGTTTAACTAGATGGTCATAAGTGAGAACGAAGGCTGTATATTACTATTTGTTTATTTGTATAATATTCAATTTAAAATATTAAATATAATGAATTGAGTTTGCTTTTTGATTGATCCCTGGTGTTTAAATGTTGCAATAATTAATTATAGCACTGACAGGTGCGTGATTCACACTATAAGTTGTCAATAAAAAGATTAATATTTGGGTTGTGCCCCCTCTATCCTGGCTCAACCCACGCCAATGCTTTCTGACGTCATCAAATTGCGTCATTGCGCCTGCGCCGTATGCAACCCAATTAACAGCAGTCCAAGTCGAGTGAATCAGAATTATTTGTGATAACGAAAAGCTAGTATTCACATGTGCAAATTATTGCAAGTGACCGAATCAAGATGTTAATTAAGGAATAGTAAGTATTTCTTTGTCCCATCAGTGAGAAAACCGCGCCACAGCCCCCGTCACAAGTCTCGCGAAAAATCGATCGGAAACCCCCCGAAAGTGCCGCTGGTTGCCTCCCAGACGCATACTTGTGCGAAAAGGGGGCGTCTCGCGGCCCTCCGCCCGCAAACCGTTCCGTTTTCCCCAATCCACATGATCCCAACCTAAAAATCTCAAATGTCAAAAGACCTTGAATAAAATCGTGCCATCTGTCATAGTTTTTTTGACGTTAAGTGTGTTTTAGCCGAGTGACTTTGCCCCTAACCGTCGAAGAGGTGAGTTTTAATGAGTGTTATTGAGTCGAAGGCTAATGCGAGAGTTGCAGTACCAAGTCGCTCAATTGTTCAGCGTCGCCGAGGCTTCCAAAGACAACACGGGCGGCGGCGAGGGCATCGAAGTGCTGAAGAATGAGCCCTTCAACAACTACCCCCTATTGGGGGGCAAGTACACCTCGGGACAGTACACGTACAAGATCTACCACTTGGCCAGCAAAGTGCCCGCTTTCATCCGACTGCTGGCCCCCAGAGGCAGTCTCGAGATACACGAGGAGGCCTGGAACGCCTACCCCTACTGCCGCACCGTAATCACGGTAAAATCCCGAGAAGGCCATGGCTGCTAAACTGTCATTGTTTGTCATTTGTTCCCAGCCATGACACTCTCTGATTAGAGAAAAAAAAACACAAAGTACGTCTTGGGTTCGAATTTATTTACTCAGTAATTATGTACACCTAGTTATTTAATAGATTATAAACCTGGAACAGGTATTTTCGCTTAATTGCGTGATAACAGCAAAATTTCCATGTTATTTCAGAACCCGGCGTATATGAAAGAGAAATTTCGTATTGTTATCGAAACATTGCATGCACCGGGTGTTGGAGACGAGAACAATGTGAGTATTAATCTATTTTTCTTTCTTTTCATTCGCCCCGGGGGGTTGTCATTTAAAAACAAAATACATACGCTTTGTACGCTTCGTGTGGTGCTGGGCTTGGCTGTGGCAGAATCCCGGATACATGAAAGAGAACTTCGTTATCTGTATCGAAAGTATGCACATTGGGGACACGGGAAATCAAGATAACGTAAGGAGGAATTTGTTAGTTTTTTTTATTTTTGCACGTGTGGTAACAGTGACGTTAAAATTTTGGGTTTTGTATATGTGTGTGTGTTTAGTTTTCGTTTTGTGTCTCTGGTGGCCAACTATTTGCGTAAAAATAGATAGTGTAACCACCTTGAATTTTTATTTGAAAATAATTCGGAGTTTTATTGTGTCGTAAAACAGCTATTATTAGTCTAATTATACCGATTTTTGTGTTTTTTGACTGCAAATAACCTAATTATGCTTATTGTATACGGTAGATAGGGCTCGTGGCCCCAGAGGTCGCTCCAGCCTTGGATTTTTAAAATTCATTCACAAATTAAAAAAATTCGTTTTTTATCGTAAGTTGGCAACATAAAATACCTACTTATCTTTAATGTGGTTTGATTTGAGACCTGATTATTTTAATACAAAAAAACCAAATGTAGGGCAAGTTGATATCACCAAAAAATATCTATATCAATAAATATACAGGGTGTTTACGGTCTTGAGGTTGAAATTTAAATGAGATAATGTTCACGGTAGAAGAAAAAACGCCAAATAAAACAAAAATTCACGTTGTTAAAGGAAATTATTCATTTTACAGTATTTGTTTGAGAACTGCTGCTTCGGATGCAACATTGGTCATTAGTATCATTACCTTGTGTTTCAGCGTAAATCATAATCACAACAACTAATTTATAATTTTAATATTTTGCCATACATGTTTATAAATTTGGAGAAAAGTTAAGAAAAACGAATCAAACCTATTGGAAACCATTCGCTGAAAAAGATTAAACAGAAGATCTTCGAATTTTGATAAAAACTAAAAGCAAAAGCAAATCAAATGATGACAGTGTCAAAACTATGAAGTGACTTTTCTCTTTCATTGTCATGGATACGATTTTTTATCTGTTACAACAATACAATTTTATCTGAACAAGGAAATAATTCCAGTGACCCTCAAACCGTGTACCAATATTTTGGAGTTAAATAACATTCTTGATAATAACAATTATGTGAGTTTTTTTCTCGGTTACAGTATTTCTGTACTCTTCTGTTACTAGGTCAATTTTCAACTCCAAGACTGTAAACACCCAGTATAACTTAATTTGCTTTAACGCTTCTTATTTTTGTTTTTCGAGTACAAATAGCCGAATTATGCTTATTGAATATAGAAGTACTAAGTGTCTAGATTGCTCCATCTAGGGACTTTAGGCTTTGTTTTTATGTCAAATTGGCAACATACAATCGATTGTAAAGGGGTTTGCGTACTGGCTATACAGGGTGTAACGAAAAGATAGAGACAAAAAGTAACCTGAGATTTTCCATGTCAGAATAAAGCGATTCAATCCAACTTCCCTATATACCAAGTTGCACATTTTAAAATCTAGAGGGCGCCAAAGTTTAAAAATTATTTTCTCTACTAACTTTAATATAGTAATCGATTTTTATGAAATTTCGTACAGGCAATTGATATGAAAACACATGTTTTGGTACTATCTCTTTTTTTTATTATTGTAAAGTACTTACCAACTTATCTATTAACAACTGAACTTATTTTAAGCCATATTTTTGTTATACGTAATCCGAGTAGTGTAATTCTTTTTTTATTTGAAAAGTACATTATTTCTAAACATTTTTTGTATTTTATAATTTTTTTATATCGGCTTTGGTTTCAAAGTAAAAAAATAATTAGACATGTCAGAATTTTGGTCGTTGGCCATTTTTTATTATTGTTTTAAAAATTACATATTTTCAAAAAAATAGGTTTCAGTTTCTTTAAACAAAAAGAAAATCATAATTTCATTAGCGCCCTCTAACTTTTAAACGGTGCAACTTAGTATAGAGGTAAGTTTAGTTAAATCGCTTTGTTTTCACTGGAGAATGTCAGGTCAGGTCAGGTCAGGTTTGTCCCCATCTTTTTGTTATACCTTGTATTTTAATAGAAAAAAAAAATAAGTAGGTCAGGATGTCAACACAATAAATGTCGATAAACTAGAATTTTGCTTAGAAGGTCGCCAGAGGTAGCTTGGGTGTTAAGAATTTTATTAATAAGTATGGTTTGAGACTTGTCTTGACTTTTTTTAAGAAAAAATGAACAGAAAGTATGTATTTTGTTCAGTATACGATAGATTGAAGTGGTAGCCACCAGATGTCACTACAAACTTGTTTTTGTTTTTTTTTAGTGGAAAGAGAAAATGTCAATCGTTAATAATTTTTGAATCTAGCATTAGATGCCTTAGAGTTAGATAATTGTAGAATTTTGCTATGATTTTTGCTTCAACAAGAAATTAGGACTCCAAGTGTATTTCATTTCGTTATACTGGGTGTTTGAAATTTATTGTTTAGGTCATTTGTGTTGAAACTCATGTGTGCGAGTAGATTAGTTACGTCACTTTTGATTTTAAATTGTTGATTTTCAAAAGTTTTGAACGTAAAGTGAAAAATTCGTTCGAATTTAGGTCCACGAACTTCCCCCCGACAAGCTCAAGCAGCGCGAGGTGGTGCACATAGACATCGCTAATGACCCGATATCCCCCAGCGACTACAAAGAAAAAGAAGATCCGACGAAATTCAAATCGGAGAAGACCGGTCGGGGGCCTCTCGTCGGCCCCAACTGGAAAAACAACGTCCAACCGGTTATGACATGCTATAAATTGGTAACCGTCGAATTCAAATGGTTCGGTTTGCAAAATCGCGTAGAAAGTTTTATTCAAAAGTCGGAACGACGACTGTTTACCAACTTCCATAGGTAAATATAGGTTGTTTGAAATGTGGTGTGCGATTTAAATGTTTTTTTTTTTTTTTGTAGGCAAGTTTTTTGTTGGATGGATTTATGGTATGGTTTGACCATGGCGGATATTCGAGCCATTGAAGAAAGGACGCAGCAAGAACTCGAAGCGTTACGTCAAAAGGGCGAGGTGCGAGGGATGAAAGCAGAAACGGACTAAATAAATTTTTGCAGTTGTAGTGAATTTAATTTGATTTAAACGAACTGCCCGCAACGGCACGTAGTAAATTAATTTTTGTTGTTTTATTAATCGATTAAGTATAGAAATGCATTTAATATTGTGATTTTTGGTATTTTGTGGAAGATAGAGTTACCAAGGGTTTTTTGTTCTTATCTAGTGAATCGGTGCAGTTCGTTCTTGTTTTAAACCGGTGAAAATAATGAAAGCTTTCGAAATTTTATATTTTATTTATTTATTTTCATTATTTTCCAATAAACTCATTCCTTTTTACGCCGTTTTGATTTTCTCTTCGGAAACGACGAAATCTGTTGCAATATTCAGAAAGCCATTTTGACGGGTTTTTCTCTCATACTGTATAAATGTTATCGAGTAGTTGTTAAAATTATTGTTAGAATTTGGGATCATGTTGACAATATATCTATCTTGTATAAAATGTCGTAGTTAGTACCGGGCGTCTCGGATGAATTTTTCTATGGCAAATGGGGCCCCCGGTTCGGTCAAAATGGTTTCTAGCGAAAAAGTCAATTATGATTGTTTAGTCCGGTCCTAACGAGGCGCAACAACTACTTAATTTCGACGTAGTATTAATAGTTAGGTTTTTTAACGCTGATTTCCTTCTGGCTGCAGTTCCACATCCATGTTGGCATTTTAAATGTGTACGTGTAAAATTCATTTAAATTCTAGTTTCTAGTTCAAGTATGTATGTAATACTGTGTAAAAAGTTGTACACAAAACGTTAATAAAATTAGAAGTAACCATGCGAGGGCCCTGATTTACCCAACTCCGGTCCTGCTGTGTTTCAACCACGGCCGACCTTGATTACGTCAGATAAGATAGCTCACAATGAAATTCCTTTCACTCAAACTTTTAGAAAGTATACACAAGTGCAGTACGCGTCGGAGCCCCTTTTTAAATGTTTTAACCCCACTTATCGCCCCCACAACACACACCATGGGCTGTTCCACGTCCAAAGTTGAAGTTTCGCGCTGTAAGTGTCAAACCGTCTTTTGTTTCCAATACCAACCCCCCAAACATAAACATAACCTCAAAATCCCGACTTTAACCGCAATTATCCCCTTTTGCATTGATTGTCAGTTCGCGGAAATACACTAGACCGGTATTTATAATTAGAATGAGTAAATATAAATGCGGTAAGAGTCCCAAATGCAGTTATTTGTGTAAGTCATTTGACAGATCGTATCGATCCCACAGCCACCGTCATGTACAGTGCGGTTTCTCTATCAGTTCATTATTTCAAATTTTTGCCAATTTATCGTTGGTTTTCAGCCACGAGCAAGGATGAGGACTACGTGGAGGGCGTCGTGTGCCAGGACTCCGACATTGCCGAGAACGAGATGAAGAGTTTCGAGCTGGGCGAAGGCCGGGTGCTCCTGGTGCGTCAGAAGGGCAAGTTGAGTGCAATCGGGGCCAAATGCACGCATTACGGGGCCCCCTTAGCTGCGGGGGCGCTAAGCGACGGCCGCGTCAGGTGCCAGTGGCACGGGGCCTGCTTCAACATCCTCACAGGGGACATCGAGGACTTTCCAGGTATAAATTACACCAAATGAACGGTTATTACATGATTTGCAGACTACAAGGCCAAAACTAATCGCAACTACTTAGAACAATGTTTTTGTTCGTCATTGTTATAATGTTACATCAATCATTACATCGTTTCGTTTTATCAAAACCGACAATTGATTTTGCGAAGTTACAGAAACATTGTTTCACTTTTATGGCAGTGTCATTTTTTATTAGAGCTAATTATTATTATTAAATGACATAATGACATTAAATGACATCATTCGTTAATCAGGCCAAATGTTTATTATTATTATCGTTCCTAGGCAACACGCAATTGATTGATTGATTTTGTGCAATTGAAACAGACTTTTTTCACACATGGGTGTGTATCTGGGTCATTAATAAAAAAATTAATTTTTACATAACTTTCATTTGTAAACAAGCAAATCTCGTGTTGTTGATGGAAAAAAATGAATAAATTATAGATGGAATTATGTATCAATTTTTGTTATTTTCCATTTATTTTGCCACAGAAATTATTTTTATTCCTGATTGGCAATTTTAAATTGCCAAATTAAATAATTAAACACTTAAAACTAATAGAAAAGTGTACTTTATTGATTGTTTGATCAATGATAAAAGTTACTTTTGAAGTTACACGTTTCTGATAATTTTTTATTCTTATCCGGTTTTATTCAAGTTCAAGTTTATTCAAGCTTGATATGTTTTATTAGATTAGAATCAAGACATAGCCCTATATTTTTTATTACACTTTATATTTTCTTTTTTAGTTCAGATTATTAAAAACATTTATGAGAGGCCAAAGTGCAGTTTCTAAAATTATTTTGCCCTATAGAGGGTGTACCATTTTTGCAGAGCAGCCTTTTAACACACAGTTTTTTTTAATGGCAATGGCTGTATATTTGTACATGTTTGAATTTGCACCTTTTTAGGCTTTATAAATCCGTTTAGTTTTTGCAATTTGCTTTAACCGTTCAGAAGAAACTTTAAAGGACCAAAACTTGATTTTTTTAAATGGCACTCTCTGTGTTTTATTACTAAGTATTATTCAACGTCTCATTTTACATCTTTTTCACCCAAAAGTTGATAGTTTGGGAGATAATTCGGTTTTTCTGAAAAATGCACATAAAATCTCTTGGATACTAACGTTGCGAGCCATGAAAAACAATAAATTCTGACATACCAACGCAAAGTGACTGACATTTATCGTACGTCACGTTTTGATTTTCTTGTGAAAATGAATTTTTCGCGTAAAATGCAAACAGATCTCATCGAGATATAAACATTAATTTTGACAAGAAATTATTAAATAAAAATGAAAGAAACTTTACAATGTCGCAAACAAGTAAATAAAAAATTATTTGTTTAATAGCTTCTTGTCGTATTTGCCACATAAAAGCCACTTTACAGAAAATGTTTTTTCTTGAAAATTTCAAAAGGCATACTCGATTTTTCAAAACTAAAATTTTGTAAAAAATTAGTCTTTAACCAAGCAGGGCTGAATCTCAAAAAAGTGAAAATTTAAATCATTTTTTATCTGTTACCAAGAATCGTTTCACCTATCCCGGGACACACTGTATAAAATCTACAGCTCCTATCACAACTGTTGACATAATTTAGTTACTTCTGCTGCCAACATAGACACTATACCGGGTGTGTCAGAACTCGCGCCCCAGAAAAAAACTTCTAGTAAGATAAGATACCAGGAACATGGAGAAAATATTTAAAAAAAATTCTGTCAAAAAATTTTGACATTTATTTTTTGACATTTGACATTTTTTATGTCTATTTAATGATACTGATGATCTTGTGTATGTTTTTTTATAATTATTTAATAGAGGAACAAAAATTTATAATTTGCAATAAATTAAATGGCCTCTATGAATTGACCGCGACTTTAGTTTTTTTTCCATTGGAAAAATTTTAATTCTATGTAATTGTAACCAACCTTGACAAACAAAATTTCACTAGTTACATTAAAATGAAATTTGAAAAGGGACACCAACTTTATCAAGTTAAATTGCACTACTCTAATAATTAAAAAATCAAAATCAGACGAAAAAAATCGGACTTCAACTAAAATCTGAAACTTATTTTTATCACCTGTGTCATCATGGATGGGAAAAGGGTGAATAAAAAGTATGGAACCAATCGTTTTTTTTATAAATCATTTGCTTTGAGAAAATAATAATAAGTGCTAAAAAAATATGATTGTGTTTTGGAAATAAAGTATTGTTTTGTTTTTGAATTTTTCGGTTTTTTGTGTCAAAATGGCAACTTATATGATTTTTTTTTCAATAAAAATGAAATAAAACGTAGATAATAAAATCGTAAAAGAAGCTTTTATAGTGGGTTGCAATTTGAAAAAATTAAAAATTTTGAAGGACTCAAAAAGAAATTTTATAATTATTCATCAATTGGTGTTTCAAAAAATTATTAGTTTAAAAGCAAAAAGAGTTTGGTTCCACACTTTTTATTCACCTAGTATATGATAAAAACGATTAATTATTAATCAAAAAAAAGAAAGCGCAAAGTAAATTAAGAAAATCAGAAACAGAAAAAATCCAATTTCCTTGTTTGTTAACTCGTTAGTCAGTAGCGTAGAACTTAGTTAAATGGTTTTTTAAAAAAAACTTGTGGTACCAATATTGAAAACTCTAATTACCCTGGCCCATTAAAAATTTAAAATACGCATTTTATTGCCACCAACATTGTCAACAAGTAAAAAAAATTGGTATATGAAAAAATTCCAGGTATGGACTCGCTCCCTTGCTACCAAGTGACCGTCGAGAACAACTCGGTCAAGGTCCGTGCCAAACGCTCCGAACTCGAGACGAATAAACGCGTAAAATCCATGACAAAACGCAACCCCCACGAATCCCAACACATTGTCGTTATCGGCGGAGGCCCCTCGGGGGCTGTCTGCGTCGAAACTCTCCGCCAGGAAGGTTTCTCCGGCCGAATAACTCTCGTCTGTAAAGAAAACTGTCTCCCATATGACCGAGTCCTCGTCAGCAAAGCCATGGATTTCGACCTTTCGAAGGCCCAATTTCGCACCGAACAATTCTACAAAGACAACGGAATCGAAGTATTAAAAGGCGTCGAGGCAACTGGAGTCAACACCACGCAAAAATCGGTGAATTTAAGCAACGGAAACGTTTTGAATTACGATAAGTTGTATGTGGCCACCGGAATGAAGGCCAATAAGGTGGCTATTCCGGGGGCCGATTTGCAAAATGTCGTGATTCTGAGGAATTACGATGATTCAAAAGCGACCAATGCGCTGATTCGGGAGGATTTGAAAGTGGTTGTCTTGGGGTCCAGTTTCGTGGCGCTTGAAGCGGCGGCCTATTGCGTGGAAAAGGGGGTTAAAAACGTCACGATTATCGCTCGAGGGAGTGTGCCTTTTAAACCGTTCCTGGGGGAGGTCGTAGGGGGCGCTTTCAAGTCGTTTTTCGAGGAGAAGGGAGTCAAATTCATCAGTAATTCCGGTTTAAGTAAGTGTCTCGATGATGGGACCGGGAAAGTGACAAAAGTCGAGTTGAAAGATGGGTCAACTCTCGAGGCTGATTTAGTGATTATGGGGGTGGGTAGTAGTTGTCTCACTGATTTCCTCAAAGGGTCAGGGATCGAGCTACGCCCCGATGGGACAATCGAAGTGAACGAGTTTTTGCAAAGTAACAACTCCGATGTTTACATCGGGGGGGACATCGCATACGCCCCCGTGTGGTCGCATCATGATCAGAAAGCTGCCATCGGGCATTACCCCCTCGCTCATTATCATGGCAAAATCGCAGCGTTGAATATCCTAGGAAAGGGGAAAAAATTACAAGCCGTCCCTTATTTCTGGACCAAATTATTTGGGAAAAGCTTGAGATATGCCGGACATGGAAAATTCGACGATGTTGTTTATATTGGGGATGTTAACAAGTTCAAATTTGTTGCTTTTTACTTAGATGGGGATGAAGTCGTAGCGGCGTCTTCTGTGGGTTGGGACCCCGTTGTGTCACAATTTGCCGAAGTCCTAGCCCTTGGCAAAACACTCCACAGGAAGGACGTACAAAACGACGATAAATTTACTTGGACCAAATTGTTGCAAAGTACTTAAAAGGGCCTGTGATTGAAGCCACACAGTATTTTATTTTTCTAAATGATTTATTTACAGTTTTATAGTGTTGTGTAACTAAGAAGTCTAATAAATGTTATGCTTACTAATCCCATGCTTCTTTATGTCGCAAATGTCCCAAAACTGACTCAATTGTGATGTTGTCTTTGTAGTCTTTCTTACTTGTTATTAATTTTATGTAATTGGCTTCTCGCTTACCCAACGCAATAGCGTGACCGTAAGATTGTTCCTAAACACAACCATTCGGGAAAAAACATTAAAACAACCAAGGGGTACTTACAGGAGTCAGATATGAGTGTCTCAAGTAGAACATATTTTTCTCTTCAATCTCAAACTCATTTCGGAGCTTTTGTACGTCTCGAATGGTCACAGGCCGGCTTAGACGGTGCTTCCCGATCCAAATATTACCGGGGGGCATGTGTTTACGCCTACAAAGAGCCTGAAACAGCCTCATTTTCGAACAAACTTAACCTCACTTTAACGATAAATTGTTAAGTTGGCAATGCACTAAAAAAATCCTAATTATTTTTTAAAAATACAAACAGGACGGAAATGAAACGGTTATTGTGACCTATTAAAGGCCCACTGACCGTTTTACCCACTAACTGCACGAATTATTTTATTTTTGTTAAAACAGATTATTTAAATTTGTTGGGTTGGCAATCTTGTGTTATAACCCAACTTTTGACCCCTAAGAAAAATGACAAATTTCATTGCTAGGTTAAGTTTTAGCATACTAAAACCACAAATATGGGCCTCCCAGATCACTCGGGTCATGCCCGAGTCTTATTTGAGCCGCGTCACATCGTATTGTACCACTCGTGTGACACTTTACCCTAACCTCACTTTGCGTCCTTTTTCATCAAATTCGCGCTGTATTCAGGACAATATTTCAACGTTGCAGCTCAAAAAGCGCCCAATCCGTAAGAAAAAAATCCTAGAGGATGAATTAGTGCGCCCCCCTGGCCTATACAGTGTTGTTGCGTACGCCACCGCTGAAGAGTACGATTTAGAGCGCCTGATCCAGGGGTTAAAACAGTTGGATTTGTACGAACCCAAAGTGATCGCAAATGCGTCGGATGTGGTGCACGCCGTGGCCAAATATCAAGTTGATCAGGAGCCCCGCGAGATTTTTTTCTTCCGCGAAGGCAGTGTTGTTTTGTGGAACGTGACCGAATTAGAGAGTAGTAATGTTCTTAGTTTTTTGCGCGAGTTCGAATTGGAGAGTCATTCGGAGAGTTTGGTGCAGGAGGAGTGCGAAATAATGACTTACAGGCACCAGAAAGAGGGGCTGCCTAGTGCCTTGGCCAAAGACGGGGACTTGTTGGTGGCCACGGTTGACAACAGTGAGATCGATTTGGATAAGTACACGTTTTCGAATGCGATGATTCTGAGTGTGAAGTTGGCCATATGGGAGGCGTCGCTGGAGCGCTACATTGGGACAATTGAGTTTGTTACAGAAGACTTGAAGAATGGGAATAAAATTAGGATGTCTCGGGAGGAGGTGTTGAGGAAACATGGCGAATTGTTCGCTTTGAGACACATGATTAATTTGAGTTCGGATCTTTTAGATACTCCCGATTTCTACTGGGAGAATGAACAACTAGAAAATTTATACTTGCAAGTGTGTAATTATTTTGCGATTGCGAAACGGACGAGAGTGAGTTGTTTCGGCCCCCTTTTCGTGTATTTATCGTCAGTTTCTAGGTCATGAACGAAAAAATCAATCATTGTGTCGAGTTGATTGAACTCTTATCAACGCATTTGAGTGATAAGCATCATGTCCGGCTAGAATGGATGATAATTGTCCTCATTATGGTCGAAGTGGCATTTGAAACGATCCATTACATTGACAGATACATGAATTAAGATAAGCCTTAAACACATTTATCATTATTTTGTACAATAATTAGAAAAATTACATAAAACAGGATTAAACATCAATAATAGACTTTAAAAAACTTGTTCCATTTATCAGCTTTGTTGTCGCGACAACAAACTCCACGTTCGAGTCTTCTTGTTGCGACAAAAACCTCAACGCAGAAATCTACAATTACCAAATTTTTATTTTCGTTTTTTTCGAAATAATTTTTTACCTCTGCAAACGTGCATCCCCCAATGAAAAACACTAAAACCACCGACGGCGTATCAGAGTTGTTCGGGGCCAAATTGGGCACTGGAGGCGTTTCATCCAATGTGGGGCCCGGTAACAACCCCAAAACATCTTGTAATTGCTTCCAGCCCCCGTTTTTCGTCACTTGTTCCGCTAAACGCACACTCAAGGGGGCGTAAACGCTATGTACGTAACTAATATCCGTCGGGTTTATTTCCGACGTGTCTTCCATTGTGAGTCTTAAGGCTTTGCGCAGGACTGTGTACTGTCTTGTCCCCGACTGGACCTTCAAAAGTCCCACCTTCTCCAGGTTTGTGATGGCGAGGAGGGCCTGCAGGCCGTACACCTGGAAATTATCACGTTTAAAATTAGTTGGCTGTGATTGTGAAGTTAGGTTGGCAACATTTAATGAAATGAGTATAAAATTTATTTTGATCCGAGAGACCTCTGTGACTCTGGAATTAAGTTGGCAACACTACATGGGTTTTGACAAAGAATGTTGCCAGCAGGTGTGGTGAAATTTCACCAGATCTGGTGATTTTCATGTTAGCCTGGTGATTTGGTAAAAATTCAAATATATGGTGATTTTTTGGAAATTAAAAAAACAGTTTTTCGAACATTTTCCACGTTTTCAACCAGAAACTTGATTATTTCGTCAAGTTTTTTCAAAAAATTCGTAAAACCACCAAATTGGTAACAAATTGCTTTTTTACAATATTTTACTACAGGATAAAAATGACAATTTCTTTTTGTCTTTTTCGAATACTTTTTCAGCTAGGAACACAATTATTTCGGAAAATTTCGTTAAAAACT